GCAGATATTGTAGTTGGTTGTCTGCTGGATTGAGTGCACGGGAAGCTGGCAAGTCAGATCCTAGTCCAGGATGTGAGTGGGCTATTTCTTCTGCCTCAGATGACTTTGTCTATGTATGTATGCTCTCTTGTAGGAGGATTCTTTTAAGGCTTCTAAATGGCAGAAGTTCATGGACACCCGTAATTAGTTATATGCAGAGTGCAATTAATTCTCATACAGAACTTATGAAACTCTGCATGTAACTTATATTTTTGTGCTGCAGATAATTCATGATATGAATTGCTTAGCGGAAGAAATTTGTGGGGCCTACGTTGATCACGTGCTTGAGTTGCTCAATTCTTGCCCTACTCAAGTACTTGACTTTGTAAAGCAGAGTATTTTACAAGGTGTGAAATCTCTCAAAGATCTCCTGCCCCTTGTGATAAGTGCAGTAATTGAGACAATAGTTGAGAAGGCTGTGAAGGTATTCTTTTCTTCATATGCGTGTGTGAACATATAGTGGTAAATAATTTTAGACAATTAATGACACTAGTTTTATGCCATCGACCCCAACTTGATTGGGATTATGGTGATGATTATGATGCCTGTCTTAATGCATACTCTTTTTATTTATAATAGACCATATTCATCTCAAAATATCTTATTCGCACGTACTGTAGGATATTATACAATTGAAGGGGATAACTGCCACATACAGAATGACAAATAAGCCCCTACCTGTCAAGCATTCCCCATATGTTTCAGGTGTACTCCGACCATTAAAGGTACATTTTCTTTTCATAGACTTGTGTTTGTTCTTTAATATGCAATGGCTGAGCATTTGCTAACTCTGAATTGTTAATCAAGTCTATTACTAGTATTGGGGTACTTTTCAAAAATGCATTTGGGCGAGGGGTGGAGAATGTTTAGGAAACAATCTAAAGATACATTTGTAATTATTGATTCAGCATTCCATAATTTCAAACATGAGGATAAAGTCATTCAATGTATACCAAACACTACAAACTTGGAATAAAGGGTGTTAGGTTTTTGTGAATGGATAAATAACATCATCCTTATTTTTTAAAGTATAGCCTTAATAAAGTTAGGCAATTTAGGGTCAAGATAAGATCTGCGTACATACTACCATCCACAGACCCCACTTGTGTGATTACACTGGATTTGTTGTTGTTGTTGTTATAACAAATTTATGCTTTTGTATTTAAATAATTTAATTCTAGTGTCTTTTAGACCCCTCCCCAAGTGCTGGGTGTGCATGAGCGAGCTAAGGCAGAGTATAGCTGTGATTAGGTGAATATATATACTCCGTCAGGAATTGCTTGTAACAGTTTGACTTCTTGGAGTTGAAGAAAAATGTTGAAAAGTAAAAAGTGGATGGTTGAAATTTGTTTTGAAGAAAAAGAAGAGTTGTGGACCACATTTTTTGGGGAAAGTCTAGATGAGAAATTCTATAGTCACAAACAAAGAGTTCACAAAATTCACAATCTTGCCGTTTGTGAATTTTAATGTTAAATATTACTATTTGAGTGCATCTTGTTTCTAGTGAAATGTTACTATGGTAAGTTTGAGAGTTTCATGAACTCTTTGTTTGTAACTCAATTATTTCTCGATCCAGAAAGGGAAGCGTGAAGATTATCTGGGACAGAGGGAGTATGTGTGTGTGTGTGTATATATATATGTAGGTGGTCAAAGGGAAGCCTAGTGCCTAGGTGGGACTAAGCAGTGATTAGGATAAAATTTGGACCTTCGCTATTAACTCCTTGATGATGTGGTTATATATGGATTGAGATGAACATTGACCCCATTCAGGTGTTTTTGGAGGGAGAACGGGCCACCAGATACCTAACAAAGGAGCTTAGGAACGAGCTCTTGCAAGGTGCTGCCTTCAAAATCACTGACCGTTTTTTTGAATTAGCTTCAGACCTTGCCAATTTGGTGAGCAGATGCCGAGACACTGTTTGTTTGAATAATAATAATAAGACCCTGAGTTTTCTTCTTCCCTTATTTTCCATCTGCACTAGAAAAAGTTTCTATAGGATTTTGATCTTGTTGTCTCAGGCTCGGAAAACAGAGTCTTCGCTTCAGAAGATACGTTTGGGTGCTCAAAGAAGGGCAGGAGCAAGCTCAGACATTTCAGATCATAATATATCTGACACAGACAAGATTTGTATGCAGCTGTTTCTCGACATTCAGGTGATTAACATTTGCTATCACAGAAAAATCACATGTTTTACCCCCTCCCCCCAATCTTTGACATTGAACAATCCAATGTTACAAATCAGGGTCTATGGGGCACTCTCAGCATTTTATATTGCCATGAATGTCCCCATTAACCATATTACCCCATCCCATTCGTCTGTGTACAATTAAATATGAGGGTTTGTGGGCATTTTCAGCATTGTATTTTGACAAGAATATGACCAACAACAACTGCAATCGAGTATGGCACTATAATCCCAATTCCGTTGGGGTCCTGGGGGCCTGGGGGCCTGGGGGTCAAGATGTACGCAGTCTTGTGCCTATAAAGGCCAAAAATTAGTAGAAAGCGGTGTAATTTTTAGCTCCATTAGCAATGAACGAAATGAGACTATGACCATGAACCATAATACTTCCTCTCTCCCCAAAAAAGCATGTCTTAATATTTGTTTTGCTTTAAAAATATCTATTCCCACAAGCTAATTTTCATCCAACTTTATGTAATTTTTTAAAATGATTGTTTCTGTTTACATAACAGGAATACGCCCGAAACCTGTCTTCACTAGGGATAGACGCTGCTTCTATTCCTTCGTACTGTTCCTTATGGCAGTGTGTTGCCCCGCCGGAATGGAAAAACACAATAAACTTTTAGAGATATGCATGGAAAAAGGCAAGCATTATAAGCTCTTCCTTTTCCTTCTGCTCATTAGACTGTCTACCAGAGGAATTCTCCCTCAACTCTGCTGGAAAAAGATGTATTTCAAGTCACATATAAGCTGACAAGTGATTCTCAGCTGAGAAATATCAACAAGTTTGAAGGATATATATATATATATATATATATATATATATATATATATATATATATATATATATATATATATATATATATATATATCAGAGAGATAATCTTATATTCCTGTAATTGGACATACATATTGATATTTTTTTGTATATCTATGAAATTGATTCTTTTTCTCTTAATAGTTTGATTTTGAAGTTCCAAGCTTAAGATGTACTATGAAAACTCTTAATAGAAATATGGTGTTTTAGTGTTTAAAATGATTCTTACACATATACGTGTTTTGTTTTCGTTTTGTTTATGTTGTGTTTAGGTAACGTACTCCCTCAGTTCTAAAAATCTTTTTTTATCAAATAGTGACATATTTTGACCATAAGAAAAATATATTTAATTATAATATAAATTAAATATAATTTGGTTAATTTTAGGATAGAGTTTTATTATATCAAGTTTTTATATCATTTAATATTATGTTTAATTTGTGGTCAAAGAATATCGTTGTTTGACCAAAAGAGTTAAAACATGAAAGATTTTAGGACTGGAGGGAGTAGATCGTAGTCGAATGTTTTAGCATAATGATTGTAATACATTATTTCGATTTCATTTATATGAATTTTGCTCTAATATGAAATGAATTGTTAAGTAATTTTGTGATCTCAATACAAAAGTTTGATTGATCGATTCTATTTTTAAAGTTCAATTGATTTGTTATTGAACTTGTGCAGTGGCTGGTAATTAGGTTTATTAAATACGCGAACAGATTACGAACGACAAGGTGTCGTGGTGTAGTTGGTTATCACGTCAGTCTAACACACTGAAGGTCTCCGGTTCAAACCCGGGCGACGCCAATTCTTTTTACTTTTTTATTAGAGAAAATCATTTTTTGAATAAGCTACCAAAAGCGGGATAAAATTACTCCCAGTAATACATATTTTGAACAAGCGACCAAAAGGAAAAGGAAATACTTAACTTCTCAAGTAATATTTTGCAGTTATTTCCTTCCTCTCAAATTTAAAGCTATAAATTTTATCTACCAGCCAATTCTTTTATTTATTTTTTACACGTATTTACTTCATTAATTATTTGTTTAAAAAATACAATTATATTGCATCTTGTTTTAAGAAACAGTTGATGTTAGTGTTAATAAAAAATTTCTTTTATAATATCTATTTTGTAAGTTTAATTATAAGATCAAAGAGGAAGTGTTCGTGAAAATTTGAAAACTTATTTCTTTGGTGTGTTTTTTTGCTTTAGTGTTATTATTACGAAGTAAAAAAAATTAGGGAGATGCTGGAGTGGCATTAATCCCAATGCCATACTGCGACACAAGTTTCAACCGACAAGTTCTAATTTATAGTTTCTACTCTTTAACCTTTTGGTAAATCACTCTGGTCCAACTTGAAATGATCCCTCCTAATTCTATGAGTAATGCTTATATGGTCTCAAAGTCCACATTTAAAACGTGAACTTTCTTACATTTTTCATAGTCTTGCACTAGATACAATTTTTTTCAAAAATTTCATTTTTTTATGCTACAAATATACTGAACTTTATAAAATAAACATGAACCTTAGGTTTAAAAAATTTGCCTAATTTTAATTTCTATATATTTAAGTCAATCAAAAGATTCGGTATAAAAATGAATTATGCTTAAAAGAAAATTATTTCAAAGTAGAGAAATCATTAATTACATATCGAAGTAATATTATGGTATGTTTGGAAACATGGATTTGGATTTTAAATCTGGATTTAGCTCAAATTACATATTTGGGAAACTTACAAATTTTGAATTTGGATTTGAATCAAATTCTTCTCATTCATAACAAAGCTTAATTTTAAATCTATGCACCTCTCATTGTCATTTGAAATGCAAAATTTCAAATTTTGAAATTGAAATACATGAATTGAAACGAATTTCTAGTTGACAAACACCACTTTATAAAATTATGAATTAAATCAGAAATAGCTTTAATTATAACTGTATTCAAATAAGATCAGATCAGATCAAAGTTTATTCTAATGAAATCAAAATTATTTAGATCACTTGAGGAGAGAAAATGGTTAAGGAGAGTATTTATGTGAATTTTAAGTGTTCTTAAATTTGGGAGGTTGACCCGACCCTTTTCCAAAGGCAAACCCTATATTGGATCTTAATTAACCCGAAAAAAAGGAGCCATTTTTATGCTTTTCAACTCCCTCGTTCATCATCTTCTCCATTCGTTCGACCTGCGTGAGCAGTACGAGTGAAGCAGTAATATCCTCATCCTTTGATTATTCGTCTCTTCGATCTATTTTTTTTTCAATCTAAATCTCTCTGCTCATTCATTATAAAATCAGGTTCCCTTGTAAGTTTTTAGTTCTTCCGCCGCCCAGTCTGAGCATTAATTTCATTTTTCAACAGCCTTCTTTGGAGGTCTGTTTGAAGGGGGCTTAACAAATCGAGTTCTTTATTTCTGTATTTGCACTCAGGTTTATAAATTTGTGCAGTGTTGGGTTTTTGCATGAGATCAATGTCTTGTTTCTCTCTGGTTTAATTATAACAGGTTGAAATGATTCATCAAGATTTGAAGTTGTAATGTTATGTGTCTGTATCTCAGGGTTAGCAATTTTTCTTAGCTCTACATAATTTGCTTAGCAATTTTTCTTCATTGGGTTTTTGTTTTTTTTGTTAGAGATTAGTATAATTTTCTTGAAGATTTATTCTTTGAATTTACTTTGTCTGTTTCCAAGCTAAAGTGTACTGTCAATGTTAGGTTGTTAGTAGTCATATGTATATGAGAATTATTTGCTAAATGCTAATCAATTTTCTGCTTAATTACCTTTGAGTTTGCTAACCAAAATTGATTAAGTGCAGTTTTTTTTAGTAAAAGATAGTTGTGAGTTGTCTCTAAACAATGAAGTGCTTTTTTTTGTTAATGAGGACAAACTGTAGAAGCTGCTTTGAAATAAGCATTAAGTAAAAATTTAACCATGTAACAATATGCTTTTGGCTTATGAGTTTTAGAAGCTCTAAAAAGTGTGTATACAAGAAAAATTTTCCACTACCAAACACTTAAATTGAAAAATCCATGTAAAATAAAGTAATGCGCAAAAAATTAAGTGTTCGAAAACACTCTCATAGAGAAGTAATGTGTAAAATTGGACGATTCAAATTTATCACTTAACTGATTTAAGCTAATATCTAAATTTTAGTTTTAGAAAGTACTGTATCTAACCATTTAAACTCTCACCTGTAGCGAGTTTTGGATGGCTTACTTTCAAGAAATAAGTGAGTTTTAGTGGTAGAATTTTTTTTTCACATAAAAAGAAGTGTTTGGTAAATGGAAAAAGTGCACTACCATCAAGTTAATTATTTTTTTTAAAAAAAAGATTAATGGTTATTTTACTATCATTCCATGGTTATAGTAGTTGGGTAGACTTGTGGCCCCGGGTTTGTAGTTTTGGTTTGTGTGTTCTTATGTCTTAATCTGCGAGTCGGTATATGTGTTTCTTCTTCTTTTTTGAGCCGGAGGTCTCTTGGAAACACCTTTTTTACTCCCAAGTAGGGGTGAAATTTGCATACACTTACCTCCTTCCCAGGCCCTACTTAGGATTCTACTAGGTTTGTTGTTGTTTGATGGTTATATTGGAATGAATTTCATTAGTGATTTATCTCAGAAAAGCACCTTATAAGACTTGATGTTTATATAAAAACCCTTTTGTTAATAGCACTTATACCCATACTTTAAATTTTGTGTGTTTTTGCAGGTGAAAACTGTTATAAATTTGGCCACCAATTTTAATAAGCAGTCGTTACCATGGGGACCCCAGAGACATCACGTGAGCCATGCCCTGACCGCATCCTCGACGACGTAGGTGGAGCATTCGGTATGGGTGCCGTTGGAGGTTCAGCCTTCCACTTCTTGAAAGGATTGTACAGTTCCCCTAAGGGAGAACGCTTTGTCTTTGCCACCCAAGCGGTCCGAATGAATGCTCCACGTGTCGGCGGCAGTTTCGCAGTGTGGGGCGGACTATTTTCCACCTTTGACTGTACAATGGTTTACGTCCGAGCGAAGGAGGATCCATGGAATTCCATCATTGCCGGTGCCGCGACTGGCGGGTTCCTTTCGATGCGTCAGGGTCTGGGCCCCGCTTCAAGATCAGCTTTGTTTGGCGGCGTCTTACTTGCTTTGATTGAGGGGTTTGGGATCATGATAAACAAAATGCTGACCGTTCCCCAGAATCTTCCACCACCCATGGAGGAACCGCTTCCTCCAAATATGTCTGGATTTCCAATGGGTCAACTGCCAGGTCAGGCTCCAGTGAGCATGGAGGGTATTGGTGGTGATGGTGGTGGGTCGTCGACATCTTCTTCTTCGTCATCTCTATCATGGTTTAGAGGGCTGTTTGGCGGCGGTGAGAATAAGCAAGATACAAGCTCGGACAATGGGAGCAAGACAAAGGTTTTGGAGAGTTTTGATACTCCTAGCCCTCCCACTTTTGAGTATAAATAAATGGCCTCGGGAACTCAATGTTTTCCTTGGGTAAGAATTTTTTTCGCTACACTTCTTTTCTTCAGGGGGGAAAAGATGGCTTTGAGTAATTACGTTTTGGTTTTGGTAATTTTTTTTGTGAGATAGGTTCTTTTGGCACCAAGCATGAGTGTCGTATTACGACACCGACCATTTGAGGGTCTTACTATGCTCAGTTGGACTCCAGAGTGGGTCCTATCTCCCTAACCCCTGGAAGGTGGGGGAGATTTTGTAGGGGTGGGACCCAATGGAGCACCATAGGGCCCTAGAGTCATACTATGACACTCAAACCAGAGTTAAAAGATACGTAGTTTTTTCCCTGACCAGATGAATCTGAACCAAACCAAACAAAAAACACATCTGAACTTCATAAAAACAAGGGAAATGCTACTTTTAAGTTTAATCCCATGGATTTAATTTTTTTTTAACCCCATGGATGACACCAAGGACAATCATTCACGCTGGCACCTTTGTATCATTCATAGTGTGACTGTAGCATGACCATAAAAACCATGTGTAGTTTGGTTTTACTTTTGACAGTGTTTTGTGTTTCAACCTAGATTTTAAAAAAAAAATCTAAATAAACAAGGATCATAGAGTTATCTGCACCTTGTAATTACTAGACACAATCACTCCCATGTACCAAACAATGACCAAATGTGCTTCAACTTCCTTGATTTATGGGCTGTGCTATTGTCTCGGGTAGTGTCAACCTTGGTGTCACCCGTGCTTGGTGTTATTATTCGCGAGATTAAAGTAGCATTATGGTTGATTTGTTATTATGCAGAGTGTCACAATGGGTACTGGTGGAGACTATGCTGATCTAAGTGTCTGATGATCTGCAGGAAGAGAGGAAGTTTGAGAGGTGAATGAGAATAATGTCAATGGCTTTGCTTTGCTGCCATTTATAGATTGTGTACATACGACTTTGGATCGTTTTAGACTTGGAGTTCGTCTTGAGTTTTGACAATCGCGCGCCTCAGGGCGTTTCCCGTTTTGTATCGGCATTAAACCTACTTTAAGTACTTTTGATCTTGTTGTCCTTGGAGCCAGTGGCGTTGTCCATTTATGCTAAATTGGGAGTTAAAATGCAGAAAGGTTTATGGTGTTACTCTATTTATATTTAGAGCATCTTTATCCATTTGGTCATCCCCCTCTTCCCCCCTTCTTTTACTCTTAACTTTTCTCATATCACTTTTCTTTCATTTTAAATGGTGGACCCCATGTGTCATAAATTTATTTTATTTACATAATTTTTAAGGAGTAATAAAATAAACTAAGATGCTGTGATTTTTTTTGTAAAGAAAAAACTGAAATTTATATTTTGTGTTTGAATAAAAACGTATGTACCACAAGTTTTACTTTGTATTTTGTAATTTCTAATTGACATATAAATTATTTTAAAAAGTGATAAAAGAAAGTGATGTTTGTATTTTTTTTATCATTGCCAAAAAAAAATCTGCCTCTTCTCCCTTTTCCGCTTTTGTTTTTTCCTTTTTTTCCTTCCTCCTTTTATTCTTTTTCTTCCTTTCTTTCTATCTTTTCTTTTCCTTTTATTCTTTTTCTTCCTTTCTTTCTCTCTTTTCTTTTCCTGGAGAAACATCTTTCCCTCTCTCCTTCCATCTCTTCTTTTTCATGGGGTGTTGGTGGCCGTGGTGCGCCGTGATGGCCATCAGGTGCGCGTGAAACTCCCCCCCCAAACTAGCCGTTTAAACTTCTAGTTTCCTTTTTTGTTTTTTGTTTTTCTATTAATGAAACCATCCCCTCCACTTCAAATTTTCACACTTTCAAAAAATTTAAAAAAAGGCGTGATCCACACCCCTGTGATGTGATGAACTGTGATAGGAAAGAGAAAATATGATGTAACGCTGAGTGGGATGGCGCGATCCACACCAAATGGTCTAATCATTTCTTTCAGTTTCCGTCTTTCACATCATACTTTCTCAAGAGTCATCCACCACTAAAGATGCTCTTATAATGGAAAGTCCGTCAGGGCCGTGGAGCTTGAACCTTCTATGGTCCACGAGTTGCAACACAAATTTCAAGGAATTGCATCTAATAAGCTAAGGGTCCGTTTGGTATGGAATTAAATTGGGAGTTGAAATTCTATAGAATTGACTTGGATGAAATTGAATTCTCCAATTCCATTTCATTTTTGACACTGCCAATTCTAAATTCACATATTTTTGTGCTACCAAACAATTGAATTGGATTTGTTCTTCCCAATTCCAATTTCATAGATTGAATTCCGTGTATCAAGTGAAACCTAAGGATAATTCTTTTGTCATTTTGTTAAACAATCTTTTCGTGTTTAGATAGGAATTCTACTGCTACTTTTGGAGGAATTTTTGTGCATTTATTCATATTTGCATCTGAAAATATGGTTCATTTGTATTTTGTAATTTGGAGTATCATTTGTAATTTGATTTTAGTTTCAATAGGAAGAATAAAACTCTGGGTGCCATTTCTTCAGAACAAGACTGTGCTTTCTATGTTAGTAAAGAATTATCAAGACTCTGATCACAAGACTATGTTTTTTATGATAGTGCCTTCGCAAGTACTAGCTACATGTCCACTCTTCGCTACCAATCTGCGATCAAAATTCAATTTAGCTCCTTTCAGTAACTGTCCGGTCGAGTCTGAGAGGACCCTCGAGAATGAGGCTCATCCTTTTTTTATGAAAGAAAAGAATTATCAAACTCTATATTTTTTTTGGTTCCTTTTTTTTATGATAGAAAAAATCTGCGATCAAAGTCCAATTTCTAGTTTTTTTTGCAAGGTTGAATCTATATTTCCTAGTTTTGGCTATTAAAGCACGCATCTATATTTCCTAGTTTTGGCACTAATCCAGCATGATCTAATGATATAAATCCAATTTTGCAATTGGTGCTCTTCGATGAAGATAATAACTTGATAAATGAAGAGGCTAAAATGTAAAAAAGATAAAGGTCAGAGTCTAAAAGGTGCATGGTTAATACTTAAAACTCAATAACCCATATCAGAGATATGGAAATTTGCATTAAAACTTTATTTTAAAAAATTACTCTAATGACTGTAACAACTAGTAATAACAAATTGTTCTAAAAGAACACATGATAGCACAAGGCAAAAACAACTCTAGTGCTCAAGGCCACAAATTTTATAGAACCGGCCCTAACGGGAAGAGAAAAAAACATTGGGGACAATCGGGCATCAAGCGTTAAGGCTAAAATAATGCTATGGGGTATCAAATTCCGACACCCCTTTCTTGCAGATGAGCACTGTTCCATGTCTGTAAATATCTGCAAAAAAGAGTGGCGTCGAAATTGGGGGTACCCAAACCTTAATTCTTATGGTTTTGCCGTGCTTGGCGTGGACATTTTGGTGTTGGAGGAGTCATCAACTGCTTCAGGTGTTGAATTGTCATGCGATGTGTTGGGAGCAGAAACACAAATGCCGCCTCCCTCTCCCTCTTCAGTATTCTTCCCCAAATCATGGAGTTTTCTCTTCTTTGATGAAATGTCCGAACTACCCTTCTTCTCGGCTTCCCTCTCTTCCGCGTCGCCATCATCTTTCTCTGGTTTGGATTCACTGGCTGCAGGAAACAATGGCGGTTCGCGACCACTCAAACGACAAAACACGTCCTCAACTGTCCCACTTATCTCCTTCCCTATCCCATTTTGATCCAATATGAGCTCCCAAACTGACTTTGAAGCTTTCTCAAGCACCGAAGTCCTGTCAAATATTACATGCCATAAGTACACTATCGAAATGAATGAATAAACACAAGGCTTTAAACATGAAAACCTCGGTAAACAAGCCCAGTAAAATCTCACAACAATAGGGTGTGGGGAGGGTGTGTGTGCGTAGACCTTAATCCTACCATGAAATTGAGATATATTTGGACAAAGACACAATTTGATTGTGCAGTTCATACTAATTTTTCATTGTGCAGTTCATACTAATTTTTATTGTCATTTAGACAAAGACACATTTTGAACCACACAATTATTTCCTAAAACGGTGACTTAAAGATGAATTTGGACAGATGGAAAAGGAAGAGGCTGTTTCTAATAAATAAACAACAATAACAAACCCAACAGAATTCAAGAGTTATGAGGAAGGTGTGTGTACACATACCTTAACCATACTATGGAGTAGAGAGCTTTCTAACAGTTTTTGTGTGCGTACTCAGATACAGAAGTACGAACAAAGAAACTACTAATACTATGTTCGGTTCAAGGAATTTGAAAGGGAAAAGAAAAGAAAATGAGATAGAAAACAGTTTTTTCTTGTTTGGTTAGAGAGGAAAAGAAAAGAAACGTGGAAGGAAAAGAAAACGAGAAGGCAAAATGTACGAAGAGGGGAAACAAAATTCCTTTCATTTTTGTGAGGAAAATGAGAGAAAACTATTTTCTATTCTCTTCCTTCCAAATTTCTTGAACCAAACATAGTGTAAAGAACAAACAAAGTACGAACATTGACAAAAGAAGCATACAAGCCATCTCTAAGAACTAGAAATAAAGTACAAAGCAAAAACAACACACAAGCACACGTTACAGACTAAGACATAAAAACACATCACCTAAAACTACAAACTAAGTTTTGTCCAACTATTTTATTCATAAGAGCCATTGTCGATGAATTTGAATTGCAGTAAATCTAGTTTTAGTAGAGCTCATTATGAATTATTACTACTCTTAAACATCTGTTTTCATGCTATACTATACATTCAACACTATAGTGGAAAGAGCGAGTGTAAACCCACAATTCCATATCATCTATGGGAACTATTTGAGCTTTTATCAAAAGTAAACCCAATTTTCAAAATAGAATCTTGAATTCACAGAAAGTATTGTAACTCTGTAGGCAATATCCCAAGCTAAGCAACATGACCAACGAAAAGATAAACATTATTGCTTAAAAGAAAGAGGAATCTCACTCGAGTTCTTGACGAAGCGCATCGAAAAGCTCCCTCTTTGTCTGCTTCTCAGCCCCAGGAGTGTTCAGAACCTTACTCTGTTCCACCATTTTTATGGTTGTGTTCTTCAGTTCTTCCTTAAACAGATCAAAAGCATTGTTTTATCAGCAACCAATAATCATAAACCTAGGTCTCCCTACATACCAGAAGAAAAAAAACAATTTTTATACAAAAGATTTGTTTTTTTTTGTTCAAACAATATACATATCGTATGTGTGAAGCAGAAAAACATCACGAAATTTTTTAAAAAAAAAGATCTAAAGAATGAAACTTTCAAATCGAAATAATTGAGAAAATTGGGGATTTTGAGAGTACATTGGCTTTGAGGTGGGTGATGATTTTCAATCGGATGGAATCAATTGTGCCGTCGTTCATCATCGTCTCCAAAACCTCTTCCGGAGTTATCACCGAAGACGAAGAAGACGGTTCCATTGCACAAAAATCAAAGCTTATGCGCCGACGAGAAACAGAATTCGCAGAGCTAGGTCTTTTACAGGAAACCCTCCTTTGCTGAGGACTGTTGGAGTCTTGATGATGGTGAAATCAATGAAAGATTCATGAGTTTGGCCTGAAAGATTCTTTAGAAGAACGGCAGAGGATAGATGGATGGTGGACCAATGGTACATACAGTCCATTCACTCATTTTTCTGCTAAATTCATCTCACTAATTTTCTCCTAAAATTAGGGTCTTTTCTTCTTCTTTTTATACTTTAAAGATAAATGTGTCCATGTTTTATAAAAGAAGTAGATTTTAAAGAAGGATTTAAGATGAGTGTATTTTGGTATTGAATTTTCAAAAATGTCCTTTGATCACTATAAAAAACGCCAAAACAACGACGGATTCCAAAAATGACTTGTACTCTTCGTACACACACACATACGAAGAAACATGATGGGAAGACCTACATCAATAAGAAGGCAGACCTACATGTGAATTCATAGTGCTCATTTTATTTTGCTTTTTATGTTACAAAATATATATACATGTATGTTTTGTGTATTGCAGCAAAACTACGTAGCCATGCAGGAGGCAATTCGTGAAGAAGGCTTAAATGTGACACCTGACGAGATTTTTCTATCTACAGTCGGAGGACATGATGTCAAGAATCGTGTTCATGGTGTTGGAGATCTCGACGGAGCCTACCACGAATGCATGCAAGTGAGGCAAGACGTGCTAGCACCAGTTCTATGTGGGACCCTCGAGATGATGACATCCGGAGGTTGAGAGAAGAGTTAGATGAAATTAGAACTTCCCAAGCGCATGAATTGTTGTCGATTAGAGAAGAGATGACCCGACTTTATGGAGGAGTTTTTCCACGTGGAAATGGAGATGGCGGTCGAGATGGAGGAGGGGCGGGGTTTGCAGGGGCTTGTTGAGTGTTTTATTAGAATTGAAGAACAATATATTAAACTTAAGTTTTATGGTTATGTAAGTGGAGTTAGATTTGATTGTTATGTTGAATTTTTATAAATATTATTTAAAATTTAGTTGTACATTGGTGACTTGAATATTCTTGGCTGTTTGGTAATCTTCATTTCCAGTAATTGTTGTTGTTTGATGCTGGGATTTCTGAGCTTTGCTATGTATGTGTGCAAAATTGAAAGCATCAGCTTCCTGGTTGTAACCTGTCAAATTGGCGACGGAATCGCATTTCCGTCGCTATATGGTCAAAATGCATATTCCGTCGCTATTTCCGTCGTTCGGTCTAGCGACGGATATTTTCCGTCGTGAGTTCCATCGCTGATTTCCGTCGCCACTTCCGTCGTAGACTAGCGACGGAATCAAAAATTCGTCGTCACATTTACTACTAACGAAAAATTAACGACGGAATAGATTCCGTCGTTATTTCCGTCGTTACGAAGATTACCTACGGAAATAAGGCTTTGGCTACGGAATTATTCCGTCGCCATTTGAACAGTTTTTTGTAGTGGATGTGATGGGTAAAAATATGATTTGATAGATAAATTATCAGTAAAAAGGTATGATGTGATAGGTAGGGTATGAAAAAATAAGGGGTAAAAGTGACTTTTTAATAGAAATGAGAAGTTTTTTTTGGGACGGATGAAAAAAGAAAGGAGAAAGGTTTTCAGGGACGGATGGAGTATTTAACAACACTCATAAATCAATTATTAAATAAATTAATTAGTATATTTTCAGTTTTATTTTGTTTTGCTTTTTTCGCGTAGACCAAGAAAAAGAAATCAGGCTAGAGAAATGATCATAATGCCTTAATTTTTTGCACATAGAAAAAACTCCCTCCGTCCCATATTTATCTTGATTTTCGATAATTTTATTTGTTTGCACGTTTTTATTATTCATTTGATAAAATAAAATATTACCTCACATCTTGTTTTATACTCCGTATAACTTTGATATAGTTTTGAAATATGTAATAAACAAAATCACTTTAAAAGAGATGAAAAAGAAGTCATATTTAACTCATTTGTCATATAAAAGAAAGTTTATAATACTCCCGCAGTCCCAAATTAATTAGAAATTAATTAGGGTATTGAATTAGGAATTCCCCAAATGGGTTGGAGTATTATGTGATAAGAATTTAGGAAATTCAATGAGTTTTTCGAATAATTCAACTGAAAAAGGGGTGATTGAATCATTAGTTTACAAATGATAGTGGTTAAAATGAAATAGGTTGGGCTCATGTAGCATATTTGAAACGCTAATAGAAAGCTTTTGAATTAAGCCCAAGTTTATGGAATAAACCCCTCCAACCAAACAAGGCTTATGCGCATAAGCTATCTTTTGTTGTGCTAAACATAGCCTACAAGTCTTGGACCAAATGTGAAATATGGCAAGTCTAATTGTATAAATTAAATAAATAGTCATTCAAGACAGGTAGAACTAATTAGTTGAATCCCATGACATACCTATAAAGGCACAAAAGCTTACATATAATGAAGGGATTTTTTCATAAAATAAAGTATAAAAAAATATACAAACAAATAAGAAATGTTGTAGAGTTGTCCTCTAGCTCCATTTGCTATGTTTTGGGACAGTTTTCTGATAAGTCAATCAGCATAATCAACACATTATACAAGACAACTAAGACAAAAATGGCAAAATGCAAGTCCTATAATGACTCAATCAAGAAGTCACATGCCATCGCGTGCTAGAACTAACAAAAAGACATTGTGCAATAAATAAAAGAGGTGGTTCAATCCGACTCCAATGCTACGGTTGAACCGGTCTGTTAATGGCTTCACATTTCAAACGAATAGAGTGTTTTGGCACTAACCCTTTCGCCACCATTTCATTCAAGATGTTCTTGGCAATGACAGGGTCTCCATTTCTCAGATGAAGCTTTGCAAGCAAGTTGTAAAGAGAATTGCTCGAGGTCCTAAACCTGGCAGCCATGTCGTTTACAAATTCGTATGCTTTCTCATGTTGGTTTGTATCGAACAACACATTCAGAAGCACTGAAAGAGTAGATGGCCGGGGTTCGATATTGAGATGCACCATCAAGTCCAGATGCTGGAAAGCAACACCGAAATGGTGTCGAGTAGCCGAGTGACATATTATGGCTTCCAATGTTATTGCATCAGGATGAAAACCTTTTTCTTTCATTGCATTGAGAAGGGTACAAACTTCAGACATTCTGTTATGCCTGCAATAGTATGCAATCAGATAGTTGTATGTGTTGGTTTCTGGGAGACAACCGAGTTTGCGCATCTCTTCGATGGTGGCATGTGCTTCTTTGATTTGCCCTCGTTTACACATCGCCCGGATCAAAATGTTGTATCGACGAACTGTCCTTTCTGTGTTTTCCATTACGAATTTTGCAGTTTGGGGAGATCCCAAAGAACAAAACCTGTCTATCAATGCAGAAATTCCAGAGTTACGGCACGAACCACCGACTTTGTTTAACACGTCGATCACTCTTCTTGTAGACTCCATCGGATCATCCTTGTCCAGTTCAGATACAGGTAAAAACTCAAATGCCATTCGATTGAGACAGATTTTTTGCAGTTTGAACTCCTGCAACAGAGAAATCATTGCTTCGTAATCACCCAAACATCCACAGTTGTTGATGATCAGGCTGCAGATATCACCACTTCTACACAACTGAGGATTCGTCTCCATGAGAATTCTGAAGAAACTCAATCCAGATATCCTGAGCCGATTCAAACCATTAAGAGTACCCATTATAATTGGCTTCGAATCAAGCGAAGAGGCCACAGAGCTCAACTTAGAACTCAATTCTTCTCCATCACTCCTAATGATCTCAATGATTTGTGCAGCCTCATTACTGACATTATTCCGAATTTCATTTCGGTTTCTTTTGGATTCTTCACCCTCAGCAGCAGTAGTTGATAAACTCTCCGTTTTCTTATCATGATGATACTGAACAGAGAAGCATCTAGATACAGATACATAACTCGGACTAAACAATCTACAGGTAGAGAATGAATCAACACTGCATTTTGAAGGTGCTCGAGACGAATAACTGGACAAACGGAGCTTTTGGAGAATCGGATAAAATTTCGAGGGCGATTCCGATGAGGAATTGCCCGAATAGGATTTGTTACTGAAGATACTAAGATCCAGGTCCCGGATTGCAGAAGGGATTGCTTGGATTGGGAATGAATAGGGTTTATGAAGGCGGCGAAAAGGAACGGAGCAATAATAAGCAGGGAAGAGATTGAGATTGAGATACCTGAGATGCTTTTTAGAGTGGAAATTTGGCATTTCCATCACTCGAAAGATCAAATCTTCTTCTTCGTCTTCTTCTCCGGACGCTCTCACACGCCCTCCCCGGAGGCGAATCGGCGCGAGGACGGCGGTTGAATGGTGAATCGAATTAGAGTTGCCAAAGGAGTTATTGAAATTATTTTCAAATAACAATTATTTGAAAATTGGGGTGAAATTTAACAAGAAAGTTTATTTATTAAAAAACTATAAAAAACTCTACAAAATAAAATGTGTCATGATTATATTATTTTATCAAACAATTAATGAAAATAAATAAATTTTGAACTTGTATATAGCAAACATATAATTTAATTTAGACAGATAGAGTATCATTTAGTTAATAAAAAAACTAAAAACAAAAATAAAAAAGTAAAAAATAAAAAATTGAATTACAAATTTAAATTTTATGGCGTTGATTTGGATAAAATTGAAATCTTCAACTCTAATTCATTTTTGGCACTACTAATTTCAAATTCACATATTTTTATGCGACCAAACAGCAGAATTGGAATCATTGTCCTTATTTCTAATTTCATAGTTTGAATTTCATATACCAAACAAAGTCTTATTGAAATTGAATAATGAAGATTACATCAATACATGGAGAATACATGGAGAATATTAACTAAAGTAGAATATAAAATTATGGTAACAACAATAAGAACAAATAATAATAATAATAATAATAAAACTCTATTTCTAATTATCTTTACTATTCCAAATACTCATCACTACAATCTGATCATTGCTAACGAGGAGCAGGTTGGAACACAAGTATTGAAATGATGTCGGTGAAAGTCGTTTTGTAAGGATAACCGCTAGCAGTAAAGATGAAGATATTTGTCGCATACAAACGAGCTTGAGAGTATGTTTGTTGAGTTTGTTTAGGGAAGATGAGAGTATGTTTGTTGAGTTTGTTAAAGTGAGGAAGATGAGTTTCTTTTTTCTCATTGTGGTTTGTTCTCTGCTTCTTTATCGTTTTTTCATATTCTTGATCTTCAGAAGAAACACTAACAAATGAAGCCTCTTATTTCTTCGATCACGCACCCCTTTTTTTGTGAGTGATGGGGATAAAGGACAGTGACCGTTAGACACGCTCATAATTTATGGAGAGAAGAGAGGAATTAGGGATGGCGATGTCATAATCTGTGGCAGCCGACTGTCGACAATGAAGACGAGCTGTGACACACTATCAAAAGAAAAGAGATATACTTCGTATAAGTTTTTGAAAAGAAAGACTTTAACAATGATACCATTATACAATTAGATAATAATTTGTTTTATTGAATAATGAAAATTACGTTTCAACAATATATATAGAGAATACATGAATAATCCTAATCAATGTAGAATAAGAAATTATGGTAACAATAGAAAAAGAAAGTAATTAATAATAATAGTAATAGTAATAACAATAATAATAATAATAATAACGTATTTTCTACTATCCCTGTTATCCCTAATAAATCTAAGGTTCACATCATTTTTTGTAGATTTTTTCCATAAGAATTTTTTTTAAAAAATAATGTTTATGGAAGTAATAAACATTCGATTACTTTCTTGGTTTGCTTAGAATAGTGTAAACTAGACGTGATCAAAGTGCAGGTCAGATCAGATTTCTGGCCGAATTGAGATGTTACATTACAAAAATTTTCTAAGCCCATATATATGTGTGACAAAGAACGACTTATCACGTGTATGATCAAAGGTCACAATATCTCTAACTGTAACATCACTCTTGAGGCTATAAGTATTTCTCAATTCTGTTAGAGAGAGAGAGAGAGATAAAGAGTGTGTGTGTGTGTGTGTGTATCATTCTTAGACTATAACCACAAACTCGATAAGTTTTTGGTTAATTAATTCTCTGACATGATATTAGAGATGTGTGTGATTTTAATGTGACCTAGGGATGGCAACGGGTCGGGTTCGGGTCGGATAGTACTATACCCGAACCCGACCCGACTTTTAAAACCGAAACCCGAACCTGACCCGAAGCCCGACATTTCAACTCGAAACCCGTCCCGACCCGAACCCGACCCGAATCCGATTTTTAACCAATAATCAATTCGACGTACCACAATAATTTTGAAAAGATTAAATCTAATTTTTTTGTGTCTCTTTTTTTATATCTCATTTTTATTAAGGAATTATAAAAATGATTATAAAAAGAATACTTGATATAGTAACATTTTGTCAAGAGATTATACGGAGTGCTCATTATATCCATAGATAGACTTTTATGTAATAAAATATTTGGGTTTTAGTCGGGTCGGGTGCGGGTTCGGGTCGGGTAAAATTATAAATCTACACCCAACCCGACCCGATGTCGGGTTCGGGTAAAAAAATTCGGGTCGGGTTCGAATTATTTTATTTTTAGTTCTAATTCGGATATTTTAGTAGTCGGTCGGGTCGGTTAAGCTTGGGTTCGGGTTGAATTGAGATCCCTAAACGTGAGGATTGTGGGGAATGGGTGAAGGAGAGTGGCACCACCACCAACCTTTATTTGTTTGCTCCAAAATAGTGTAAATAATTGTGACCCACACACTGCTATATCCACAACTTGTTTATAAATTTATTGTTTTTTTTTTGAAAATATAAATTTATTGTGATAATAATATAAATTTACCAGTCTTTAATTTCATCATCTTGGGAACGCTCCATTGCAATTGGACCATTTCGTCTACCAAATCGAGGCAAAAAAAGAAAAGAGAAAAAAAAAAAAGATACTCTTTCCAAAAATAGCAAGTGATGATGCTATTCTTGTCACATTATTTCCAACTACTAATGTCAGTATCTTGCTGTAAAAATATTCTCTCTCTGTTGTTTTTTTAGTATTGGACGTCTCTAAAATAATTTTGCTTTGCTTGGATTTTTTTATTTTTGTGTTAATGTTTTGTATAATTTTTTTTGGTGTAATATTATTTTTGAAAATGCTACAACTTAATAAGTCGTTAAATAATTTTTTTTCAAAATGTTAAAGATAAACCTTGAGACTATTGCCAAGCATACTTTACTTGAACATGTATCTCACAAAATATTTCTTTATTGAAAAGAGATGGATTCAAATCTTATAATTCTTACCACTTATTTTCTTAAAAATATAATTTCGAGAAATTAAAGTTAAATTAGATAAAAATAATTGGGATAGAGAGAATACATGTGAATAAATTATTTTTTGATTCATTGAAATTTGAAACTTGGGAAGTCTCGTACTCCAAGACTCCCGCTTATAGATTCAAGATTTTGATTTTTAAATATCAGTTAAAATCAATACAGTATCAGAAGAACAAGCTCTTGATAGGTTACGAAGTATCAATAACATGTCTCAAGACTGTTTGGCGATTGGTTATTAGCTATTACTCCCTCCGCCCCCCTATATTTGTCCACATTTGACTTTTGGAACTGTTCATCTAAGCACTTTGACTCATCAAATTCTCTCAATGTGTAAGCCTAAATATAGTCATGTGTGATTTTGTTTGATTTATCTTAACATATAGATTATTAATATATAATTTTTATAATTTTTTAATATACAAATTACAAGATAAAATGGATTAAAGAAGTGCATTGGATGGTGTGCAAAAATGAAAGTGGACAAATACAGGGGACGGAGGGAGTAAAATATTCGTCTTTGTTGTTTAGGAAAACATTATTAGAAAGATCGAATTTTTTAGACCCATAAAAGCTCTCTAAATAGTTTGAAACATACTCGTAATACATTCGTAAAGTGGAATTGTTTTTGTGACAAAAAAATGGCATAGGAAAAAAGAAATATGCATTGATATGTCTGATTGCCAAACAGCCCTAAAGGAGTGGCACATCTATTTTTGTTATATATATACATGCCAATGCAATGGACTTTCCTTCATATATTCTTGAAAGTTGAGATGGTGAAAATTGATTTTTTTTTCTTTAAAGAAAAACCTCATATGAGGATGAATCATCACCATCATCATCATCATCATCCTAGACCTTACATGTTGATATGAGAATGTGAGATGCAGCCAAGGATGATTTGCCGATAACCGGAATTGTTTCTTAGCTTTTTTTAAAAAAAATGTGTTACTAGATTGCATTCGTGTACATTTTGGTAGATCGGCAAGTCGTCCTTGGCTACATTTCGATCTCGTATTCGCATGTTGGATCTACGATGATTGATCATTCGGGTAATAGAATCAAGAAGATTAATGTTCATAATCATCATCATCAAACTCAAGCTGCAGATCAGATATAGCAGCAGCTTAATAATTAAGGTGGGCACTAATTGTGTTCTTCTATTCATATAGTTATGTAACTTTATTTTGATTATAATTAACCAAATTCATATAGTTCTTCAATGTCGTGTCCTCTTTGCTTATGCTTCCATCAATACATAAGTCTTTTTGTAAAAAGGTGTGCGGTGTATTTTCTCGCTAAAGAAATGAGTCAAACAGTTATTTTATACATATTTATGAATATAATTATAATATTTAACCTTTTGAATATAATTTTTTGAAAAGAAAATATAGATACTGGATCTAAAACTTACTCCGGGGTATACTTTGGAACATGAAGACTATAGTCTGGTAAATGGACTTCAGATCACTAGAATTTGAGGTTGAAACTTCTTGAATAACTTTTCAATTTTAACCTTAATTATTTATAATTTTAACCTTATCTTGACATGCTAAGAACCATAGTTTGGTTTGACAAAAGTGTTTTAATATTTACATGTTTCAAATAATTCAGTGGAAATGAAATACAAAAACCAAATTGTAAGAAATGCAATTGAAAAATAAGTAATAATAGAGCTACAGCAATTGCTTTGAAAAAACTATGGAAAGCTTGAAGCATCTGTTATTACCTGTAAAGGTTTAGTTCATTCATGAAAGGCCATCAAGCTTAAGAAGACACTTCAATGCTTGTTTCTTCTTCATTACCTTCCCATACAACCCTCTCCCCAACTTCAATGCCCTTTGGTCCATCTCCAAAACCCCACAGTTTCTCTTCATTCCTCCCAATCCCACCTTCGCGATCCTCTCGTCGCACCCCACGGCGCTCACCACACTGTCCACGAGAGTCTCGTTTGGGGGGATTTTGCCTCCCCACTTCCTCTTCAACTTTTCTGATTCAAGAACCTCTGCATAAGCTCCCCAGAAGGATGCCCTCAAATACCCTTTCACCCTCCCCCTCACTGCCCATCTCCTCATCCCTTCCTCCAATCTGTAGACCACTTCTCCCACACCCAACCCCAAACCCCTCTTCAAGAACACTTCGAATTCCCGCAATTCGTGGTTGGAACGCAGAACACTCCCACCCTCTATCTTGCACCTCTTGCATTTGCAGACAAACCCCCAGCTTTTGGCCTTTCCCTGTCGGGTCTCTAAGGGCGAAAGCACATCAAAATACGCAAACGTGAGCTCCTCTCCCATCTTTATGTCTCTAGAGGCATGAACAAAGACATGATCGCCAACGTGAGAGCGTCTCACGTTTGGTTCGCAGGAGTGGTTAATGAAAGAAGTCAATAGCCACAAGCCAATTCCATGGTAATGACTGTGATCGTTGGAACTTTTACCCAAAAACTTGACAGAAATTGCTTCTTCAACTAATGAGTTCACATCTAGTACTCCCAAAACAGTGTCCATATCAAGATTCTTGCCTGAAAATCTACTGTCATCGGTTTCGGGCCTAAACAGATCTGTGTCGGGAACATCTAGAGAATCCTCATCCACACCTGTGGATAGGGTGCTAATCAAATCCCGGGTTCGGATACATTTTGATGTTAGCTCAAGAACTTTATCAACGAAGTAATTCCAGTTTGCTAGCTGGGACTTCTCCTGGTTTTGGGACATTATTCCCCTTTCAATTGCAACAGCCCTAGTGACCAGGAACAGAGTCCCACACTCGACATTCCTAGTGGCGAACAAGCCACGCCCGCTGATCTCGGACTTGTTGATCTCTACTGGCCCTAAATACTCAGCGAGATCAGGAGGAACCCTATCGCGATTCAAGATCCAATTCGAGAGATCGAATCCGCCGGTTTCCGACAAGCCCTCTAGCTTCCTACACTTGTCCAGATATCCGTTGAGGATTTCGCCGTTCTCAGCGTCGGGAACGACGCGATTGGCGGCGGAAAAGCAAGCTAGGGCTAAGGTGTACCGATCGAGAGCGAGGAAGATCTTACCTTTACAGAGCAGGGTCTTGAAATGGGGGTTCTCGATCTGCAACGCGTCGTCGCAATCTCTCAAAGCGAGGCGGAATTCGCGGAGGCGGAAGCGGGATTCGGCCCGATTGGAGAGAGCCAAGCAGAGGGACTTCCGGAGAGCGGAAGCGCGATCGGAGCTAGGGTTTTGAGGGGAGGAGAGCTTGGAGATTCGGGAATTGCAGAGGGAAATGAAGCGGGAGTACACATGGATGCACTCCTTCCATTCTTCCCCGAGAAGAAGCTTTGTGGCTTCCGATCTCAGTTGCTGCATCATCTCTTCTTCTTCTTCTTCTTCATCGTGGTCTTCTTCCCGCATCTCTGCTGCATCATCTTGAAATTCAGCTTCTCTCATTTCTTTCTGGTTGGATCTCAGTTTTGAATGTTTGTTTATATTCTTTGCCTCGCCTTCCTTTCACCTTCACTTCCTCTTTTTCATTTACAATCCAACGGTAACCTGAATATTTATTTTGCATTTTTTTTATTTTAGTTGTTCAACTGTATTTATTTTAGTTGACATGTCCGTAATGAACAATATGCAATTCTCAAATGAACATACATATATTTTAAAATGTACCGAGTACATGCTTTGAAAAAATACTAAAATAAATAAATGTAACGAGTATTTTTTTACTCAGAGATGAGTATTCGATCGTGCAGATATATAAGAAATACAGTACACATGAATGTAAATAGTGTAGATAAAAAACCAGGGTATAATGACACATTCTTCTAAATTTAGTTGCCAAAATAGAAAACGGGAAAAAACTCTTGGAAATAAAAATGAGAAAGAAATTAATAGACAGAGGGAATACATTGGAAGGTTTCAATCTTTAAAAAAGAAACCTCTGGGTTAGAGCATCTCTAAAGCAGCAACATACAGAGCAATAGACTACTAAAAAAATAAAAGAATGCAAATTCAATCATTTCGCATTTTCCTCTGCTTTTGGTATGATACAATGTGGGTGAGGTCTTATTGATTATGAGGTGGCCAATCAATCAATATGTATAAGATGACAGTATAAATTACTCCCATAAAAGCCAAAAGCCTTAAATATTTCTGAGCACACATAAAGCTTTAAAGATGCCATTTGGAGGAGTTCCTATCACTTTTTTAGAAAATATGATCCATCTCTAAGCTCTAACTTCTCTTCGGACACTAGACCGGATAAGAAGCTTTGAAGTTGTTGGAGTGACTTATCGTACACTGGATCAGCAATGCAAAACATCTGCGCAACAAAACAACACCCGTGTGTCAAGCCATTTGCTTTTGTCAGTTAGTAATATTCTCATTGCTCGGTGTATTTGTCCAGTATTCCTTTTAGGGTTGCCTGAATGTACCTGTCTACTTTTAATTAAGGAAAAGAATTAGAGCCACATTGACTTATTTGCCCTCACCCCCCCCCCACCAACTTATACAACCCCCCCCCCAAAAAAAAGCAAAAGTAAGGGCATAATGGTCATTTCATTTGTTTTTTTGTTGGTCATGTGACATTGTGGCCATCAGTTTTTGTTATGGGTATACGCAATACTAACACCACTTGGTTTTTAGAGAGTTGGTAGGTCCTACACTTTTGTCTTGTTCGGTTCATATGTCAAAACTAATGTGGACAAATACACTAGGACATAGGGGCATGTTCAGAAGGGGAGCCTTGGTGCACCGGTTGAGGGGTAAGGTCACACGTTCAAGTCTTGGAAGCATCCCTTGCAAAAAAGCGCAAGGTAAGGCTTGCCTACACTTCCCCCTTGTGGTGGGACCTTTCCCTATCGCACCATCGCTATACGGGTAGGCTTTGTGCACTGGGCTGCCCTATCTAATACGAAGTACCTATCAACTAATGTGCTTTATGAATTACCCAAGCATGAGAAGAGAAGCCATTGGGGTACCTTTAGCGTATTATGAATGCGGTCCAACGCCATGTTCCCAAAATTGGTGAGCATTCCCATGATAAATTTCTGCATTCACATATGAACCAATAATGCATGTCATAGGATAGGAGCAATGTTGTTAAGTTATATTTACTCATTAATAAACTACTCAATTTGAAGACAACTAAACCTTGTAATGGATAGGCATTTGAGTGTAGTTTGGTAAGACATAATAAAGCATATAATGTAATGTAATCAAATGCATGTGTAATGCTAATTGAGGCCGGTTCAAATGACATTGAGAACCAATGTCATGGGATGACCCGGGGGTGCTCCGGTACCCCGTTCGTAAAATTGACGGTTCCTACCCCCCCTAACCTCCCCGGTAAATCCCCCCACCACGCCCCGACCCGAATGCGCCCCCCCACCCCCTTCAATTGCACCCCCAAGTTGATTTTGACTTTGGAGTCAAAATTGACTACAAAGTCAAAATCAACTTGGGGGTGCAATTGAAGGGGGTGGGGGGCCGCGTTCGGGTCGGGGCGTGGTGGGGGGATTTACCGGGGAGGTTAGGGGGGGTAGGAACCGTCAATTTTACGAACGGGGTACCGGAGCACCCCCGGGTCATCCCATGACATTGGTTCTCAATGTCATTTGAACCAAGGTGATGCTAATTTACAGAAACTATATTTGATTGCACAACATGGATTGTTTCAGACAACCAAACTACACCTTATCAGCACATACCTCATAGACCGTCATTTCTTTACGCAACTGATCTTCGACAGAGGCTACTGATCTATCTCCATCTTCTTCACCGGTCAAAAGTTCATCACAGCTTCCACTGCTTCTCCCAGTTTTACTTGTATCAGTCAGTGCCTCTACAAGAGTAAACAGGTGGTCACTAGAATCCTGTCCTGGTGCTTCTGCAAGAACTCCCTAAAAAGAACCAAACCAAATAATTAGAAAACTGAGAGGCTGCTTTGCGGGCTTTCTTTTTGTCTTATCAGTCTTATTCGTCAAAGTCATTTTTTTCACCAAACACTTCATTCATTTCAGCCACAACTTCAGCAATTCCAGCACATTGACCAACTGGCTCTGAACCTTTCTCCCAGTCGATTTTATTGCGAGAAATTATGGGATGGTGTGTATGACTACTAACCTTGCTTGTCCAAAAGTTTATCCTCCTAGTTAGAACATCCAAAGGTATTCCTAGAGCAGCAGCAAGGTCTTTCGATGTCCACCTGCCACCGTTGAGACAACAAACAAGTACAGCTTGACATGGAAAAATCCATCAAAACATGTTAAAGAAAAAAACTGTTTTCCCGCAATACCGCTTTTGATCTTGAAATTGCATGATGATGGAAGCATGAAGAGGGGTGCACGTGAACTGCAATGCTCTATCTTCAAATTCCAATTCCAGCTAAAGTGAAATAGAAATAACAAATTTGTCAACATCCTTCCATGGATATCATGATGATCATGAAGTAGACATGCAGATAACAAGTGGTAAGAGAAACATACACCACTAACTGTTTAGAAACCAACCTTCACAGTACCAAGATTTTTCTTCCAAAGCAGTTTCCTTGGGGTTTTAATTTCAGTAAATCTTTTTGCATAATCGTTCAAGAGATTGTCCACAGGCCCAGGTAAGCAAAGCGGCTCATCCTACCCCAATCAAAATAAATCAATAAACCACTCGGCAATATAATGTGGCCAGTAAAAGTAAAAAGAAGTAATTAACATTGATAGCAAAACTCAGAGATAGATGAACAGCTACACTAGTGAAAAATACATAATATTCGGTATGTTTATATAATAAATTTTGAACCAATAAAAAGCTATGCATATATGAACCATCATAAATACAGCTAGGCATTACGATGTAGGCTTGAATTATTTTTAGTTACTGTGGATGAACAAAAATCAAATGGGAGTGTTACCGCCCCAAGACAAATGCTGCATACCTGGATAGGTGGCCAGAAATTTGAAGATATGATTGTTGCATTAAGTGTATCGAGGGGTATCTCATTCTGCTCCTCGGAAACTGTTTGACATTGAACATATAAATGCTTGGACAAATCGGAATTCGGAAATATTTATTTATTTATCTATTTNGAACAACCTGGCTGAGGTTGACTCTTGTTTTTTGCTTTAATATTTGTATTTGTCCTTTTTGAATCAATCAGGTCATTGAGCATAATTTCACACTTTTGCATGCTGCTCTCTCCAAAATGAATCTGCAAATGACAAAGTGAGAATTCAAAAGGAGAGTATATGGTGTACCAAGAATGGAATAAAGCTTAACAATTGCCTGAAACATCAACACTTGTTATATTGATTACCTTGAGAAGTTCCAAAGTACGTATCTCTGAGTCAATGTCATAATCAGATTTGTTTAACAGTTTTTCTGCAAGCATTACACGATATTCATTAACCAATTGATCCTTTGAACCTAGAATGTTGACGATCATCCCAAGTATGTTAACTCTTCTTCGATTCCTGCTTCCCTTCATCGGATCAGCCTCTAGAGGGTCAGGCTCCCATCTTAAAAAGTGTATATCATAAGCAAACTATGTCAGAAGAGAACATATTCTTCTCATGAATACACACCCTCACATTGACTAAACAAAATAGGCCACCTTTGTGCATTCAACCAAGCTTGTTTGTCGTCAGCACAAAAATCATCATCAACATTGGTGTTCTCTTGACTTTCTTCATCTTGGTTCAGTTCTTCAAGAAGGCTATCCCCTGAGCTCCCTGCTCCATTGGGATTTTCACCACTCCCATCAGTGAGCATTGTCACAATGCACTTTATTGTGTCTTTTCTACCCCTCAGGTATTCGCGTATAGGCTCACCTACGGCTTCAAGGAACACACCTGCCGGATCAATGGTCCGAAGTGCCTTGATTGTTGAAACGTATTGGTGCAAAATGTCATTAGTCGAGGCACCAGCTGTGAGTAATCGATATTTCAATGATGTGATAAAGGAATCCGCCAGCTTTGAGTGTTGCCCGGTATATTCAAGACATTGTCTTAAGTCTTCGATGGCAGGAGCACTGTTAAATAGTTAGTTCAAACCTCTGAGTTATCACACAAGTGAAATTTATATCAGGTTATCAGCAGAGAGGAATAAATTGTTCAGAATGCTTATTAGTTAGAAAAATTGAACTGCTACTCTGCTATGATAATGTCAATTGTAAAACCAGTGAAATGACAGAATCCATAAAAGGCAAATTGGAATTTTCTTCTGCTAACATAGTTAGAAAGAAGATGCATTTGTAAAAGATTAACACAACACCAATCAACATGCAAGTGCATCTATATAGATGTCAGAATGGGAAAAGGCAATAAAAAGAAACATATGTCTGACTTCACCTGTCTGGATAATCCACAATCATTTCAAAAAGTTTGGCAATTCTTAAATCTTGTAAGGTCTCATAAGCATAATATTCCAACCGGAGTTGCCATCTAACAAGTCCCTCAGATGGAATTTCAGTTCCAAAGTAAAATGATGATGGATGAGATTGGAGAGGTGATTTATGACCAGACGATGGACTCTCTGTGCTAGTGGAGTCACCAAGATATGCAAGAAGTGCATGCAAAAACTGGAGAGGCACAGCCTGAACATATTTAGTCCATGCATTAGAACTTAATCAACTACGCCATATGTGTGATGCTGCATTCGTCCGAAAAAGGACTCCCCATGTGAAAATGACACATGTTTTAAGAGTATATTGATAAATGTTACTGAATGGGAATTTGACTATTTAATAATATGTGGGGTAGACTTTATGTTGGGTAGTTGAGTGGTAAGAATCTTTTCGCTAGTCTAAGTTTTCAAAAAATGGTAAATGAGATTATAAAATTAAGACAACCAAAAATGGTAAGTGTTAAACTAATTATAAATGAAGGGGTTGGGTGGGAGGCAAAGATCAGAGTGTGGACCCAAATTAAGGATGAATATGAGTGATTGAAAAAAAATCTAACTGCATAGCATGTTACAATAGATTTAATGGACTTAGGTCAAGAGCATTTCAACATTAAGGAATCAAGAATTCATTGAGAGGTCTACGTAATAATTGGTCTGGGACTTGTCCTAAGGAAAATTAGAATGTGCATTTCGGCAGTAAGCATGGACATAAAGTCATAAAGTATGTCCATAGCATACTTCTTTATATCGGTGAGGAAAACATGTGTACGATAAACTTCTGGGAAAACAAATATGAAAAACAAAATAAAAGTCACCGCATGTGTGTAATAACCTGGATCCAGAGTTTGATAGATTCCAAAACTGAACTTCTGTAATCATCTCCAGCCAATTTATGTACTTTGTCCTGTATCAACAGAAAGAAAACGACCTTATTTGAGCCAAACAGAGATTTGGAAATATGGAAACTAAGAAGATGGGAAAAGATCATACAGTCTAGTGTAGAAATGTATGTGAATGAAAATGGTCCTAAGCTCACAGGAATGTAAAAAATGAGAAGAGATTTATCCAAAGTTCAGACCTGTAGCAGCAGAAATATGGCAGAAGCATACGTATCTTCAGCCACAGATGTACATCCAAGACTTCTTAGGTTCCGAACAACCATTCCAATTCTCTTCACTAGTTTATTGTTCGCCGAAAACCTAATTTGCTGATGATTTGTATCAATATCCATATCACAGTTTCTGTCTGGAGGTTTGCATTTTCCAACTGTATCCATTTCATCATCAGATCCTAATTCAAGTTCATTTTCACAATAACCTGACACAAATGTATTCAATTCCTCCAACCTTCCCTTGAAGTACCAGTGTAGCAATTCTACATGTAAAATAAAGGGGTAATCAAAAAACAAAATGTGTAGTAGTTCAAAATTTTCACATTAACTTTCTCGCCCAAAAGTTAAACAGAAAGAGATAGACAACTTCAAGAAAAGTATTTACTTGAGGAACATACCCGGAAAATGCCTAGGAAGACTGGCCATGATAACCGAAGAAACCATTAGCTGATATTTTGACCAAAGGAAATCTTTTAGGCAATCCAAGTTGAGGCGCTCTTCTGATTTAGCTTCTCTATATGATTGTAAAGCATGGATCAATAATAATAGGCACTTCTCATGGCATTCCTTTTCAGATGATATCTCTTCCAGAGCTTCACACAATAGCTTCTGAATTTGATTCTCTAGCATCTGTTTGCATATTAATAGAAATCAAGATCTATATAAAGCTTAAAATGGACTTCTTTAAATTTATGCATTGAAAGACATAAAGTTCCTGTGCACCAAGACCACCATGTGCATGCTCACCGGATCATTGGTCATTTCAAGTGCAGCAACATTTCTGTAAGGATCAAAATGCCTCCAAAATCTTGACACTCCCTTTCCTTCAAATATTCTCTAAAACAACACAACAATGATTGGATTGCTTATCACTCGTAGTTATTCTCCAGAATTCAAAAGCACTAAACACAAGCCTTTATTGCGTAAATTATTCAGGCAGAGTTCAAATTTATTTCGCTGATATTATTAACAGCTCAAGTTCTTCACCTTCTAACATATCACCATTATGCAAATTTAGACACATACTATTCAAGAAGGGAAAAAAACTTTTCTTTAGGGTGGTTAATAACATTTCCTTGTAATATCCCACGGGACATTCAATTTTGAAGCATGTCAGGATTCCTCCCTCTATTATCTATTAACGTTATTGTTATTGTTCTTGTTATGACAAATTAGTAATTAAACAATTGAATCTAAATTTCTTTGCTCGAACAAGTCACAGCCAACATGTTGCTAATTGCAATACGCATCAAAGGGGATTTAAAATCGCAGTTTCAGCAAATTTTGATTGATCAGACCTGAGCTGAATGCAGGAAGTGGTCTTTAACCAGAGAAACGAGGCCGTGCTTGCAGAGACAGTGGACACTTGAAACGAGCTGGGAGCTGAGGGACATATCGCCACTGCCGCCAAGTAGAGCTTCCAAAACGGAGCAAAATTCGCTCCAGCTCTTCGCAATCTCTTCCGAAGAATTTCCGGTCAGAGACTCCAGAGCCGTCAGATTGAAAGAGGAAATGCTCGTCGCCATTGTAGGGAAGAACGGAGGGGATTTTGAACAATGCTGGTTTGCCTGTAAACCCTACCTTGTCCGTCGTCTGATATGAGAAACTATACCAGACACTTTCAGTCCTTTAGCTGCACCGCCGCGGTGTCAGCCCGCCGGCGATTACAGTCTTCCTTTGTTTTAATCAAACCGTCGACTTCCTTCCAGGCCTTACCAGCTGAACTTTTCTTCTAGAAGTGTATGTTTACGGAGGGTATGAATTTGGGCTTGATAATAGGCGGTATTAAACGAATTTAATTTAAAAAATATTGAATTTTAGTCAATTCTTTCAAAATTAAATTCTCACTTAAAAAAAAAGGTTTTGAACCCAAGTGTTATTGTAGGCCATATGTTATAGTAGGATTTGACCAATAATAGGAGCAAAAGTACAAATTTTAATCGATTGAGGCGAAAATGTAGATTTTCGTGATTGATTGAAATAGTGTTTTGCAATAATAGTTTTGTTTCAATAAACACTAATTCTGATTATTATATGGCTATATGCCTAAGATTAAATATATTTTTTTTGTCTGTAAAATTATTAATTTTTTTTAATTGAAGCATTCCAACAAGATTTTTTTTTTTTTTGCAAATAAGCTTCCCCCCAGACCTAAAGATTAGACTATTTATAGAATGATACTTGAATTAAGTATTTTTAGCTTAGACTATTTATTCAAGAATTCAACTTTAGAGTTTAAATCAATATAAGTTCTCAAACACTAGCTAAGAAAATTCAGAAAAGAAAGTTTCAATAGAGAGCCAAAAATCAAAACTTTGTAACATGACCCACTTGTTCTGTTAGCTTATCCATGCCCTCAAAATCAAACTCACCCCCTTCACCATCTCCACCTTCTTCCTTCTCACACCTTCCATTACTTTCTTCTCTATCTAGGACCGGACCGGACAGCAGCATCTCCATCATATCGTCCCCATCCGGTATCACAATCGGGTCGACGCTTTCCGAAGCAAGAAGCCCCTCGTTGTCGGATGGCCCCACACAGAAATCCATATTCCTGAATACATCTTGAATGATGTTCATGTCATCTTCCTCTAGCGAAAAGTCCGAAAGGTCCTCGCCGGCATGGTTGGTTCTCAACATGATCTCACCTGTCACCTGGCTGTCATTTTCTTCAATACCATCTGACCAAATGCCCACTTGCTGATGCTGCAACCATGGCGGCTGATACTTAACAATTGTTCCGTCCGAGGGGGTGGTGGGCCCACACCCCTCTGTCGGTAGAGCATCAGGTTCCGGCTCTTCTTCAACGATCCAATTGTTCTCTATCGGGTGCAAGAATTGGACCAAGAATCCGGGGTTTTGCATGGCCAACACTATGAACGACAGCATCTGCAGCTGTTTCTTCTCCATACCCTTCATCTGTTCTCTTAGAAGCAACAGCTTGCGTTGCGAGTTCTGTAGGTGCTGTCTGAGCTTAATCAGTTGCTGCGTGAGCGTGTTCTTGTCAGTCTTGAGGATTTCAACTTCCTTCAATAGTTTATGGGTTCTGCCGTCTTCGAGCGTTGACGATTCAGTCCCTTCTTGTTGCGGTGGCACTAAATTCTGGCAGTTCTTTCTTCGAACAATGCTCACCAGTAACTGCTTTTCACCTCTTACAAATTTATCATTTGCAAACTCCCAGAGATCTGTGTCAATTTTCCTGAAACCCTGCATGTAGTTAAAATGTTACAACGGACCTGTTTGGTGTTTCAGATTTCAAAACTCATATCATATCAACACTCCAAAACTCGTCATACACACCCAAAGAACTAATTGAATAGATATCAGTTGCAATTTACAACTTGTTATAAGATTGCTGCAATATAATTTAAAATTTAAGTCAACATAGAATAAACATTCTCCATAAATTTACATGTTGCTCCTTCAGGCCTTTGCCATTGCATTACCATTTTGACTCCTTTTTTTCACAAAATTGGCATTCTGAAAGAACTATACACACATCTCCTGAGCATCTTAATAATATTGCATCCAAACATAAAAAGAATCTATGGCTTTTTATATTTTTTCTCAAAAATTTTATTAATCCTAATTATAGCATGTCTTTTTTGTTGTGGACTGTTGAAATCTACAGCTAAAGAGGGTTTACTATTTACAACTGTAAACATAGATAAAAAAATGGAAGGGTGTCTAGGGAAAGCAATTTAACCTTTCCCTTCCGAAAAAAGAATTCCTCTAGAATACTCTTACAAGAAGCCTGAAATAATTGGAGGAACAATGCTTTAAAATTTTAACCCCAATACGCGAAAAAACACATCGCGTTTTGATACAAATTTAATATCAATAGATTCATTTTGAAAGATAGTTTTGAAATATTATACTTTATAACATACATCTATTTATAAATATAGAAATTATTGATCAAACGTTGCATTTCTGGACGAAGGAAGTATTTCAATAGACTTATTTGATTCAATAACCTATGTGGAGTGAATAATTCACTCCCATTCGCTACATCGAAAAATCATGGTTAAGGGTAATAGCTACATGATCACTTATCATCACTCATGTGAATATATCATCCCATAACCAAGGTTGCTTCTTTTGTAGTTTTACACTTTTACCTAAACTAGTTTCACCTCAATCCAAGTGAAGAATAAATGATCACTCCATTCAATACTCTGTATATTCTATCCTGATCTAATGCATTCATAGGTTCATCTCAATGCAAACAGAACATTAATTCCATACTCATATAAAGGAATCACTTACTCAAGTAATGCCCTATATTAGAAGATCTGATAAATAAATACAATAAAGAAAACCATCTGATAATCAAATTGAATAAATTCAGATCCCTAAATCCTAATCTTGATTCATTTCCAGTGATATTCAAATACCTTAGAGAATCAACAATGATAAAGTAAAATCGGATTAACCCCAATAAATCACGCAGGCATACGTACATAGATGTTGAGCTGGCGAACGAAGCTCGAGAAATTGGAGTGCTTGAAGTATTTGGGGAGCAATTGAGAGCTGAATCCTGATACGTCCCAGATGATGAAGCTGTTGTCGCCGGTGGAATCCCGGGAGGAGGGTTGATGACTCCGACTCCACGAAATCAAGGCGTCCGTTGATTCGTCGTCCACCATCTCGTAGCACTTGAGCAGGAACGGCTTCACCGGCACTCCGTTCTCTACCGATTTCACCATGACTATTCCTATGCAAATTTTGCGCTTTCGCTACCACTTTCCAGCCGGAGGCGGTGGAGGCGCGGTGCCGTGATCGTCTAGGAGCGCTTGATTGTTACGACGGCTAGAAAGACTATTTTTAATCCTGGGGGGTCTGATTACTAGCTAAAGAAAGGTAAATAAATTATCTATAAATCTAAAACGAAACCAATACTACTACTAGAGTCATTTGCTTAAATCCGTTCGTTTAGAGTACCTACAGTGCTCCATTTGTAAAAATAACGGTTCATACCCCCCTAACCCTCCCCTAAACCCCGCACCCTTGCCCCCCACCATAGCCCCCCCTCCCGCCCCCCTCTCTACCCTGGCAGTACACTACCAGGCAGTGTAGGGTAGGGAGGGGGGCTGTGGTGGGGGGTTTAGGGGGGTTAGGGGTAGGAATCGTCGTTTTTACAAACGGAGCATCGTAGGTACCCCAAACGGATTGGTGTAAACAACTGGTGTACAAGTAATTGGTGTCATTTTAGACACTCCCATAAATAATAGAGTAAATTTCTTAAAAGGTCTCCAATTATAGGTTGTTTTACATATTTAGTCCTTACATATCAAATATTATTAATTTAGTCATCAATTATTATATCATTTTTTTACGAATTTTCCTTTGTTAACGTTTTTGTTAAGAACATAAATAAAATTGTGATTTCATACTTCTCTCTCTCTGTTCCAATAAGCTTCCTCCCTCTTCTCGTACTTTTTCCTAAACTCGTCGCTGAGTTTGAAGCTCTAAACCCAGAACTAAAATGATCATTCCTCTTTCAATTATTAGTCTTTCTGATGGAACCTAAAATCAAAACCAATAAACTTTATGGATGAGTTCTATAGGTTAGTCTCAAGAAATTGCAAAAAAATAAACATTAAAACTCATCCTTACCGGTTTCGAATTTGGTTTTCACTCGTTAGATAAACAATTGAGAGAGCTTCAAACTCAGTGACGGGTTTGGGAAAGGAGTGCGAGGGGAGAGATGAAGCTTAATTGAGAAGAAAAAAGAGTGTAAATTTACAATTTTATCCATATTCTTAGCAGAAATATTAACAAATGACCATTCGTGGAAATGAATATAATAATTGGAAACTAAATTAGTAATATTTGATATGTATGACTAAATATGTAAAACGATCTATAATTGGGGATCTTTTATGTAATTTACTTTGAATAATAAAGGTAAATAAATAATAATATATACTCCCTCCGTCCGAATTTTAAGTTCCACTCTACACTTTTCTCCATCCAGAAATAAAGTTCTCATTCTACGTTTTCATACTCACTCTTACTAAAATACGTCTTCTTCTCTTCCTTTCTTTCTTCCTCTTTTCTTTTTTCTTATTCCCCCTCGCAAACCTGGCCACCCCTCCCTTTCTTTTTCCTCTCTCGTTCTTTCTCTCTTCCCCCTCCCCCTTCCATTTTTCTTCTCCCAATTATCTTCTTCTTCATTTCTTCCTCCTCTCCTTTTCCTTCTTTCTCCCTTTCTTTTCTCAGCATAATCACGCCATCAAGTTCTCTCACTCCCCCCCTCTTTTTCTTCTTGGTGTGGGTTGCAGAGATATTTTGGTGTGGGGGCAGGGGTATTTTGGGCAATGTGGCCCATTAGTCAACTTCCACTAAAAATGAGCAAAAACCAAATCGGGAACTTAAAATCCGGACGGAGGGAGTATGAAATAAAGCTAAATGAAGGTAATTTATTTAAATAGTACTAAAATATACTGACATTTCCAATGTAGCACGATATATTTTTATTTCCCATGTGGTACTATTATTTAATGTCCACTAGTCATTATTCAAGTAAATATGCAGTGTAATGTCTAACATCACTAGACATTATTCATGCAACTAGACATTATTCAAATATTATTTAAAAAAATTTAAGTATTAGAAAGGACATACGATTTAATACTATTTAGTGCAAAATTTCACTAAATAAAGAGTACATTGTTAAGTTTTTAAGTCATTTACCCTTCAATTCTTCAAAAATGCAAGTTTTCTCTCTCACTTTAAAAAGTTCTCGAATTTCTTAAAAAATGTATTCCCTCGATTCCATTTGAATTTTCCCGTGTGCGTTGCGCTGTTTGACCATCTTTATTTTTCATTCAATTTATTTAATTGTATGTGTAAAATTAAATTTTAAAAATGTATATTTAAAAACTACGTCAAAAGATTTACTATACAACACTAGATGTGAAATAATCACTACTCTGTATATTTTATCAAATAAGAATAGAAAATAAGAAAATAAAGTACATAAAATTTGATTGAATATCGCACTTCAAGATTCAATTGAGACGGGGGAGTATGTTTTTCCCTTAATTTTTCAAAATTACATTCATAGTTCTTAATTTTTTCATAAATTGCATTCTTTCCCGCTGGAATTTTCAAAGTCCACCATTAGTTCTATTGTTTTTTTTTCAATTTTGGTTAAAAACATTGTTAAATCAACATAAATTCTTAGAGCTTCAACCATGCAACATATTTAAAATATAGAACTAATGGTACATTTTTCAAAGTTCAAGGGTAAAAACATGTAATTTTTAAAGAGTTTGGTGGTAAAGCATGTACTTTTTTAAAAATATAGGAACCAATTGTGCAAATCAACATAAATTCTTGGAATTTCAACCATACACCATATTAAAAAATATAGAAGTAATGATACACTTTTGAACGTTCAGAAACAACTTTTTTTTAAAGAGTTTGGGAGGTAAAGCACACACTTTTCAAAAAATATATGAACTTCGGAGTAATAGTGCAATTTTTTAAATTTGGGGGTGCAGTAGCGGATTTGCGAAGAGTTCAAAAGTAAATTATGCAAAATAGATTAATAATTGATTACTCTTGCATCCGTATTCATTTAATCTGCATGCAAAGGATATGATAGGACACCATTGAGAGAATATCAATATTTTAAATGAAAAATAATAATTATACTACTATCGCTCTATATTTAATTAAATTACATCACACTATTCATGTGATTGAATTTTATTGATTTTCTTTACATATTATATATGATTGGTATAATAATAAGAATAATAATAACAATAACAATTATAATAAGAATAATATGTAAAAATACATTTAAATAACTTTTTAAAGTTAATTCTACTTTTTTCCAATTTCTTTCGGTTTTTCTAGTTTCTTTGAGCTCCTTCTATTTTTTTCTATTTTGTTTACAAGTTTCTCTAATTTATTCAAGTTTCTTCTAGTTTTTTTTCTTGTATCTTCTAGTTTTTTCCTGTTTCTTCTACTTTCTTTCAATATTCCGCTCTTTTTTTTCAACCCTAAAAATAGGCTCTAAATATATTGAATATATAAGATCTTTTCAGGCTTTCCCAAACACGCACAAAAACTTTTAACTTTTTCAGTCAAAATTGATAAACTTTGATCATTAGTTAAATAAAACTTATATTATATACGGAGTATGATACAAGAATAATTTTGTTAGATTTATATTATCAAATATTTTTAAAATATTTTTTTTCCTAATTAATTTATCATGTAATTTTTATTTAATTATCAGTCAAAAGCCAATCCTAGTTGACTATAAAAAGCTAAAACTGAATATTTTTTAGCGTTATTGACTCGATTAAATATAAATTTAATAAAATTATTCTTGTATCAATATTCAATATAAATTTTATTTAATTAATGAGCCAAATTCAATAATATTGACTACAAAAGATTAAAAAAAATTGACAAATAGTCTAAAATAGAGAGGGTAATTAATACTCACCGAAGACAAAATTTTATGGAAAACAAAAGGTCTTGTAATAAATTTGAAAAACTTTGAGATACTACTTCGTATGCCTTATTGCATATTTTCCGTGTTTGATTATAAATTTGGCAATGCATACGCTATTTTTTATACACCAATCTAAGTAAATTTATTGTTCGGAATTGTGATTATATCGGAAAATACTATTCGTGCACAATTAGATTCTCCGTCGGTTTCCAAATTAATATCTCATTTGACTTTTCACGGTCGCCAGTTCATCATTTTGATCTTTAACATCTTTATTTGTATATAAGTATATATAATAAAAATAATACTCCCTCCATCCCTAAATAAAGTTCCATTTTTGATTTTTTGAGGATTTAAGAGAGAGATATTTTGTGTTGACTTTCCAAAAATATCCTTGATGTGATATGTAAAAGTAAGATGTGATAGATAGATTATTAGTAAAAAGGTATGATGTGATAGGTAGGGTATGAAAAAGTAAGGGGTAAAAGGGGTTTTTCAAGGGAAAAGAGAAGTTTATTTGGGGACAAAGAAAAAACGAAAGAAAAACTTTATTTAGGGACGGAGGGAGTACATTTCAAAGTTATGTTTCAAAATTAATCTATTGACAAAAATTTATATTAAAATTCAATGTATTTTTTTCATAATATGCGATCAAAATTTAAAAAAATTGACTGTAAAAGTGAAACTCAGAAATTAATATTAAGACGTACACAAATTAGAGAGTACATAATTGATATTCCGTATTACACTTGCCTTCACTTAGGGCATTCACAATTAATAACATGTCATTTTACTTGAAATGCCTGACACATCAGACTAGAATGAAAATGTGTTCCTCCACGGTAAAAGAGGCGGCCTTGAGGTTGCGCATTTTTATCTTTTCTTCTTTTTTTGAGGAGAATAAGACTTTCTTTCAAGTAGAAGTAATTCTTTAGTGAAATAAATTCAAAAAATAATTTTTAATAATCAAAATATGACAAAAAAAATGTAAAAAGTTAAAAAATCTGACTTGCCACTGCAGGGTATACCACTCCTCTCTAGGGGTGTAAACGAATCAATCGAAGCGAATACCCAAATATTTGAATTTGTATTTGTTTAATTTTTTCGAATACGAATCCGAATCCGAATATGAGATGAATTAAATATAAGATTTGAATTTGTATTTGATTAATATTCGAATATTAACGAATCCTAAGCGAATATTTAAATAATCATAATTTATAGTTTATATGATGGACCAACATTGATTTTGAATAATTTAACTTACAATACTCCTTATGCTATACTATACTCCGTATCTAAAAACATTAATACATTTGCATCTTATGCAAATTATATTTCATAAAATATACTGGGTAAATCTTTAAAGTCATATGTTTTAGGTTTTCGTGTTATTTGTCAAATTCTTGGTAATTTAAATACACTTTATACTATATCAGTTTGCTTGACTATTGATGTTGAAAACATAGTCTGCGAGTATATACATATATTCTAATTAATTTTCGAATATCATCTGAATCGAATATATTCATATTTGTATTTGTTTAATATTTGAATCAAAAGTAATATTTGAATACGAATCACAAATCGAATTTAAAATATTTTATTTGTTTACATGCCTACTCCACTCCATGACACTGTGTGATTGTGCAGTTTTTAATTGGCTGAAATATGTCATATCACAATGTGATATTCAATTTCTTTACATGTCATTATTAGTATTAAATACTGATACTTATTTTGCTAATTATTAGCATTAAATATTAATTAAATATTATCCTCCGAAACTAATTAATACAAGTATCATTATTTTAGAATCACTATATCTATATGAAATATTTGCACTAAAACTTAAGTCATTTCTCTAAATAGCACTTAAACTTTTTTTAAATAGCACTTAATAATGTCCAGTGATGGCGAATATTTGCTTGAATAACGACTAATGCATAATGACTAAAAGTGCTACATTGTGAAGAAAAACATAAGTGCTATTTAGAGAAAGTCATTATGTTTTAGTGCTATTTAAGTAAATTTCTCTATCTATATATGTGTGTGTGTGTGTATGTGTATATATATATATGTATGTATGTATATATATATATATATATATATATATATATGTATATGTGTGTGTGTGTGTGTGTATATATATGTATGTATGTATGTATGTATGTATGTATGCATGCATGCATGGATGTATGTATGTATGCATGCATGCATGCATGTATGTATGTATGTATGCATGTATGTATGTATGTATGTATAGTATGTATGTATGTATGTATGTATGTAGGTCACTTTCGATGAAAAAGATCCTTACTGCGAGAAATAAGAATAATGTATTTTAAGGCTGTTGTGAGACATTTTACACTTGTAGTGCTTTTTTGACACTAAGAAAAAAAAGTTTGATTAATTTACAAAATTGAAATCGCGATTTATTTTTGTTTTTTAAAAATTATTAATTCACACACACAGATATATATATATATATATACACACACAAACATACATACATACATATATATACACACACATACATACATACATATACATATACATACACACACATATAAGAGTATAGGAATTTTAAAATAATAATGACAACAACAATTAAGAAAAAGGGGAAAATTTGACATATGTAGGTGTTTGCTTGCATTGCAGCCCAATTTCCAGCAATATCATTCCCATTTCAGTTTTAGAATTGAAGCTGACCTCTCTCTCTCTCTCTTACGTGCAGTTAACTTTCACTATCTTTCTAAACAAATACGGACTACTATTCTCCTTGTTGAGTATTTGCTTATTTTAACCATTTTTTCAATTAAAATAAGAAAACTTCGATTACAAATTAAACAATAGTGATATTAAATATTGATACAAAAATTTCAAATTAGATTTACTTTATAAAATATTTTCAAAATATGTTTTTACGTATATAATACATGATATATAATTATAAATTAAATGTTAAACATGGTTGACTGCAAAAGGTTAAAATTAGACAAAAATACTTGCGAGGTAGTTTTTTTTACAAGTGTACATTTTCAAATTTAGAACAACACACTAAAGTATACAAAACATAAACAATACATTTTCCAACTGCGGATAAGTAGGAGGAAGCTAAGAAAGAGTTACAAAACATAAACAATACATAAAATATTTCTTTATATGAGATTGGTTGTTTTGATATATATGTGATTTGTTCAGATTATATATATTCATTTGAGTTTTAGCTAGATTCTTTACAGGTTTCAGTCAAAAACCTAACATGACGAATGAAAAAGGAGATTCATGTGTTTTTGTAAAAACAAATTAAGGACACTTTTGAATCAAATAACAGTAGATATTTTAAGCCATTAATTAAATAATGTTAGGAATAATTTTGAGCTTGAAATATCTAGATCTCATCAGAAGGAGATGACTTACAGGGTATTACAACATGTACAGGGGAGGATGCCGAAACTATAAAAAGATTTAAAAAATAACACGAGATATATTTACGCAGTTCAGAAAAACTCTCATACTTTACAGGGCTCACGTTCGTGTTATAGACTTCTACTAAATCACTGTATGTAGATTACACCGGTATGGTAGATAACAACATGATGATATGCATTTCTTTAGATTGTTATGAAAAAAGCTCTAATCTAAGATTTCTAACTCGTAACCTGTACAGATCTGCTTCGACTATTACATTTTCACCGATATCACAAGAATAATAGACGTGTTGACAACCCTTTCCTTCAGCTCAAGTTCATCTTCTGGATGTTCAAATCTCGTTGGCACTGAAGATTTCCTTCTTCATGTAGATCGCAACATTTCTTCACGCAAGGATGACTCATGGACGTGACGGGATGCTTTAGATCAACGTATATTCTGTATTGTTTCCCACACAATCGCTCCAAGAAATCTCATGAATCTGTTGGGTATATATAGGTCACTTCAATCCTTAATCGCAGCAGGAATATGTAATTAGAAGTTATCTTGAATACAACATCTTTAATATTGATCCACAAGTTAGATAAACCCACTAAATACTAGCCGGATATTTAAAAAAAAAATCCCAAAAAGTATTTGTAATCCCAATAGGTCTCTGACGTGAAAAATTACAGATTGAAGACTCCAATTTCCGCACACGCCTAGCTTGTGTCACCATTGATAAAATACAATCAAACAATTTCTTCTAACAAATGGAGAATTCTATCTAGTCTAACAAATATGATTTTTTTACTAAAAGATTAGTAGTCAACAGCTTGAATTGAAACTAACATAGCTAACACGTGAAGAGAAAGTAACATTATTTATTGACACAAAAAACGTTTATAATCATTTTTTTTACTTTAAACTTATACCACGTATTTTTCATATTTTTTTTGGTGCAGGACAATAAGACTTGTAAGTGGAAAAAATTATTAGGGGAGAGAGTTTAGTCTTATATCACACGCCTATATATATATATATATAAAGCACCCTTAGCCAAACTCATCTTCTCATTCAACATCCAAAAACAAAGTGAAAGAACAAATCATATAAAAAAACACATACGAATTAGCAAAACACTCTTACAACATAATGGCCTCTTCTTCTACTTCCTCCTTCACATCAAAGACCATACCGACCTCTACATGCAGTGCCATTGCTTTTCTCCTCATCTCCTTCATTGTCAACTTATCATCAACAAGTATGGCAATGACCACAACAAAAATGATGAACAACGACGATGAAGGTCCTCGGAGTCATACAGTGATGTCAGAACCGGTGACGCCATACCATCTTCGTAAGATTGAGGGTGACGAAGAAAGTGGTCAACGTCATGCTGTGATGTCATCGCCGATGAGGCCAGCACATCCTCGTAGGGATGAGGATGATGAGGAAGGTGGTCGTCGTCATACAGTGATGTCAGAGCCCGTGAGGCCAGGTCATCCTCGTAAGACTGGGGATGATGAAGAAGGTGGTCATCGTCATACAGTGATGTCAGAGCCGGTGAGGCCAGGTCATCCTCGTAAGACCGAGAATGATGAAGAAGGTGATCGTCGCCATACAGTGATGTCAGAGCCGGTGAGGCCAGGTCATCCTCGTAAGGCTGAGAATGATGAAGAAGGTGATCGTCGTCATACACTGATGTCAGAGCCCGTGAGGCCTGGTCATCCTCGTAAGATGACCGAAACCAATTTTAATAACAATGGTGGTGACAACGATGATGATGATGATGATGATGAAATGATGTTCAATATCCTGCCCAAAGGTGTCATTGTCCCTCCTTCTGGACCATCTCATAGGCACAATTAGGGTGGAGATTATTTACATAAACCAATATTATAAGGAATTGGTGATATGGACGCCGCAGCATACATAATCTCTATTTGTGTGAGTACTAGTTATGGCATATAAATATTGTAATAAAGAAATAATATGAGAAATGTCATGATTAATCATATATAATTAAATAGTATGTGAAGTTTATAAATTGGGTTTATTGTGGATTGCTTCTTCTTTTACTTAGCCGAAATAACTTTATTAGATGATGATATATGTGTGCATGGATTCTTAATTGCATGGATCCTGTTTAATTACATCTAGTCCGTAGTATGTTTGCACCTGGCCTATGTGTGTTTAAGCCATTAATAATTATTACTCTTAATTTTGAAACATTGTTTTTGTAAAATTTAGAGTAAAACTGATCTGATTTTAGTAATCACAAGCAAATGTATTTATACAAATACAAAGCGGGCTAGGTTAACAAGTGGGCCCGATAAACTATTTATAGTCCAAAACTACAAATATCCGCTAACACTCCCCCTCAAGTTGGCGCATAGCGGCGTTCATGTGGTCAAGAGTGGGAGCCTGCATAAATTGAGATAAAACATGGACAGAGTAGCAAATATCCGGTCGAGTGATAGTAAGATAAATCAGACGCCCCACAATACGGCGGTACCGCGCGGGGTCGTGGAGAATAGCCGCCGTTGACCGGCCAAGGTTGTGCGTCGTAGGTAGCGGCGTATCAGCGGGCTTGCATCCCAAAAGTCCGGCTTCCTGCAAGATTTCTAGCGCATATTTGTGTTGACACAGAACCATGCCCGAAGCAGAACGAGCACACTCAATGCCCAAGAAATATTTAACCAGGCCTAAATCCTTTAGCTGAAAACACTTGTCCAAATAATGCTTAAAAGAAGTGCATAAGGTAGAATTATTGCCTGCAACCAGAATATCATCAACATAAACCAAAACGGTAAGAATATCCGGGCCATGACGAAGAATAAATAGAGTATGATCCTTATGGGCCTGTTTAAAACCCCACTGGCGAAGAGCAGTGCTGAGTTTATGGAACCAGTTGCGAGGAGACTGGCGTAGCCCATACAATGATTTTCGTAGGCGGCATACTTTCCCGGGAATGGAAAAACCGGGAGGCATGAGCATATAGACTTCCTCAATAAGATCACCATTCAGAAAAGCATTATTAACATCAAGTTGATGGACCTCCCAACTGCGCGCTACAGCAACAGAGAGTAAAATACGTACCGTCCCCATTTTGGCTACGGGAGCAAACGTATCTGTATAATCTGTCCCGAATTCCTGATGATTTCCCAAAACCACAAGCCTTGCTTTATCACGCTCCTTCGTACCATCCGAGTGAAACTTCATACGATAAACTCATTGACATCCAAGAGCCGTCAGATCCGGGGGTAGGTCAGTTACCTCCCACGTGTGGTTATTTTCCAAGGCCGTGATCTCCAGTTGCATAGCATGTCTCCAATTTGCATGTTGCATGGCCTGTTTGAATGATGTTGGGACTTCGCAAGAAGTCACTGCAGCTAGAAATCCACGGTACCTGTCATGTAATTTCTCATAATGAACAAAATTGTGGATAAGATATTGAGTACGTGAAGACTTAGATGGAACAATGCGAGGAGCAACGGGAGTAGATGTCCGGGCGGTGTGGCAATAGTAATCGAAGAGTTTGGCGGGGGGTCTCCGATCACGGGTAGGACGTGTGGGCGACGGTGGACTATCCGGGGCAGACTCGCCGTCGCTATCGGTTACAGGTGGGGACTGCCCGGAGACAGCTGGGACGGATGCCGGCGATGTGGGCTGATCGGCGGCAGACACTGGTTGGACGGTGGGGAAGTTTGCGTGGGCTAGACGCGAAGAAGCCTCGAAGGACGAGGTCGGCATAGTGGACAATGCAAACGGGAAAACTGTTTCATCAAAAGAAATGTCACGAGCATGAAAAAATCGGTGAGATTCAAGATCATATACACGTCAACCCTTAGTTCCCGTAGGGTATCCCACAAATATACATTTAAGGCTACGTGGGTGAAATTTATTTGGTGGACGTGGGGTAAGACGAACATAACACAAACAACCAAATAACCAAAGATGAGACAAGTCTGGAGGTTTTGAAGAAAGTGGTTCAAATGGTGATTTTCCCCGTAACAAAGGAGTAGGGGTTCGATTTATAAGATACATAGCAGTACGTACGCACTCCCCCCACACGCCCATTTTGTTGCGGGGTGAACACAAGAAGTTTGAACAAGAACCCCCACACTGGTATAAAACTGACGCAAAGGTTTATTCACAAACTCAGTACCATTGTCAGTGCGAACAATTTTTATAACTTTCCCAAATTGAGTTTGAATCATTTGAAAAAATTGTTTCAGACAACTGGTAACCTCTGTTTTGTCAATAATGAGGAAAACCCAAATAGCGCGAGAATAATCATCAACAATTGTGAGAAAAAATAATGTGAACCAGTAGACAAACATGGAGAATAAGGACCCCATAAATCACAATGAATTAAATCAAACAATGCATCAGCTTTATTAGTACTCTGGGAAAAACTAGATCGAGTTTGTTTGGAAAAGAAACAAATGTCACATGACTGAAATTTTTTAATTTCAGCCGTGCTTTTATTAAACGGAGGTAAAGATAAAACTTGGGGTGATGGGTGACCAAGACGCTGATGCAACAGGGATACGGATTCAGCTGTTGATGCTTGGGCGGATGAAGAAAAGACATAAACTTTGTTGCGCACTTCACATCGTCCAATCTGCGTCATCGAAGTTCGGTCCTGTATCACACAAAAATGGTCATCAAAGAAAACATGACAGTTATAAGAGTTGACAAGACAACTCACAGAGATAAGATTGCACTTTAAATTTGGCACATATAAAACATTATGCAAGGTCAAATATGGAGAAATTTGCACCCGGCTGCATGAGTTGGCAATAACATGTGCCCCATCAGGCAAACTGATAGTACACGAAGGCATAGAAACAACGTCAGACCAATAAGAAAGCACTCCTGTCATGTGATGCGAGGCATCAGTATCAACGAGCCACTCACAAGGCATAGTTGAAAATTGACCGTGTGAATTTGCATAAGAAAATGATTCAATTATCTCTGGCGGAGAGATTTTGGCAGCAGCTCACAATTAACAATACCAATTAGAAGCACCAATAATTGACCAAAGTCACAAAAGAAATTTGACACCATCCATAAAGGCCATTCACGGTCAAGGCCCAAGAATTCGAGAGGCACGATCAAAACAAAATAATAAGGAGAAATATGTTGAACCTGAGGCCGGAGAAACCAACTTGATACACGGACGGCAGAAGAACAGATTCAAAATCCAATTGATTGTGCAACCCAAGATCTCTACTTTAAAGGGGATAATAATGATGATGCAGCAACAATTTGTGGCAATAAAGCAAATCAACAATAACAATTTGATGATGTGCTACCCACGGTCGATGTAAAACGACCGGAAAGAAAAGGAAACGGCGAATCGCAAGACAGAGTACGCCGGAGAGCAGATCGCCAGAGCCGAGTAAAACTGATCTCACAAGCAAATGTATTTATACAAATACAAAGCGGGCTAGGTTAACAAGTGGGCCCGATAAACTATTTATAGTCCAAAACTACAAATATCCGCTAATAGTTTTTCTTTTATATTTTTGATAATTTTTAAAAGGTATTGGTTAATTTTTAAAAAACATTAAATCTAATAAAATCTAAATAATAAAGTTGTTGCCAAGCCCGGCGCGGTTGTACGTGCCCTGAAGCTCAGCTCAAAACGGAATGGAAGGAGCAAGGAGAAGTCATTTCGTTTCACTAATGTAACTTATGAAGAAAGAACCAAAAGCTCTGCACTTTGTGGTTTGTAATAATAACAATAAGATTATTACAAGTGATGATATGATATAATACTCCGCAATAATCAATGTGTACGTATTACAGTTCCTTCTTAATAAACACACTTCTTATAATTATCCATTTCGAATCCCACCAGCAACTACTGCAGCAGCACAGTCACGGCAGAGAAACACCGCCGGAGCATCCTCGCCGTCGTCAATTCCACAGCAACACCTTGTGTGCTGCCACACCTGACACCCTTCACACTCCACCATCCTCTCCCCGTCGTCCTCCCTCGTCCCACAAATGCACTCCACCGTCGAGTTCGTCGTAGACCCGCCATCCTGGTACCTCATCTCCGTCTCCAAATCCAGGCCGCGCCCTCTCACCCAGACGTGTGCGCCGCCGCCGACGCACCCCATCACCGCCCTCTCCTCCTCCATCCCCCTCAGCCCGCCGACCTGCCTCACCTCCAACCTCTCCATCACGCAGTAGGTGTCCCTCAGAGCAGATTGAGCCACCCTCTTCAGCTCCCCTATCGTGATGCTCCCCGGAACCACCACCACTTCCCCCGGCGACAGAGGCCGGGTCAACTCCGTCTCCAGCTCCTCAAAACTCGGCAGGACTTGGCAGGTCAATGCCATCCTCTCCGCAGTAGCGTCTTCTTGGAATGACCCCCACTCCTTCACGAACTGCTTGCTGTCCAGAATCACCCTCCCGGCGGGATAAGCGAGGAGTACACTGTCGTAGAGCAACTTCAAGTCGTCGTAAATGTCTCCACCGCCTACATTGTTGCCGCAGGGGGCGAGGAACTCGACCCTCTTGGTCGAAGGGTGTCTGGTAGACGACGGGTGAACCACCCCCTCTAGGAATGGGAACTTCTCAGCCTCTGTTTCGCCGGCGATGCTGAATTCCAGCAGTTTAGTGATGGGATTTCTGCTCCGACGAACGGTGTGATTCCCTAGAGAGACGCAGCTGATGGATTTGAGCACATAGTCGATCAGACCGGTGTCCCCGACGCAGAGTCTTGCTCGGTCTCTCAGCTCTTGCCTCGTCATCATCCCGCCACATCTTTCTTTCAGAAGGTCCACAATTGTACACAAAACCATCTCTAGCCTCTTCAAAGACCACCTGCAATCGCTCTTAGCCAGCATATTCAGAAACCCTTCTGCAGGGATGGGATCACATTCATAACCATTATTGCGTTTTCCTGCTCCGGGCATTGACTTGTCATAATTAGTTTTCTGAATCTGGTGAGTTGTGAAGGCGGGAGAACGCATGATGAACTGCAAGAGCTCACTGATTGTGATCAATGTCTCCTCGCTCATTTCCCTGTACTTTTCAATGACTTGTTTGATCTTCCGTCTTCTTCCTGGACAGAGTTTCTGGAAATCGTTCAGGATCTTATCAAGTCCCAAGGATTGAAGACTCTCGATAGCTTTCTGGTAAATCTGCTCTGTCACCCCAAAGCTTCCCCTGTTAAATTTGTAGCCCCACTTTCCAAACCAAGACATCCCATAAGTTACCCCATAAAGTAATCTCAAATCCATCCCTCCCTTCATAGAAACGTCAAACACAGACACATTTCTGCAAACAAGCAGAAAATGAATTGTTATTCAGATTCAGCTTGGCATTTTCACAATCATGAAGGTGATGAAACGAATTAGTAGTATGAAAATTTTCACCTGGTTTTCAGGGCGGTGCAGAGGCGATCCCAGAAGTCCATGAAATCAGTTCCTCGCAGATTTGAATGTGATTCCTCTCTGGAGAGAGCGTTGATGCATAGGAAATGCCCATATCCGTTGCAGTGAATAATCCCGTGCAGCGTATGAGGAGCCTCGATCTGCAAGCAATCGCTTCCCAGAGGCTTCTCCCAGTTCGCATTTGCAGGAATTATGAAGTGGTACCTTCTCTTCGACACGAAATGGTGACCCCAGCCTCAAATTGAGGAAATAAAAATTCAAATCCAGTTTAGGAAAAACCAAAATCAATAGGAGAAACTACAAAACCTAGTTCATGGAATAGGAAATACTCATAAACACGAATTCAAGCGCGATCGCGAACGAAGAACAAGCAAATACCTGCAAATTTGCAGTAGTCGCAGAAAGGCTCGGGAGAGGACTGAACCGATTCTTCAACAATATAGAGAGGGAACAAAGCTCCATTCGACGATTCTACGAGCCAGACAGACCAAACAGGCATTCCGGCGACGGAGTAGTCCTCAACCCCTGCGAATTCCTGGAGGAACAAACGGACGTCGTCTCTGAACACGCCGCCGCTGAGTCCGTCGACGGTTCCCGGCGCCGCGAACTTCTCGAACGGATAAGGCCCCCGCCGGCTCCTCTTCCTCCTCCTTGTGCAGGCTTCGATCATGACGGACGCCATTGAAAGAGGTTGAGAACTTCTCTCTTTTCTCTGTTCTCTCCTCTCCGATTTGTTGCGAACTGTTAGAGAGAAAAATAAAATAAAAACAGCGAATTCGGGAGAATGTGGGTCCCCCACTACTTGCTTTTCGCGCTCGATACGCATGGGGGTAATGGAAAAGACGGATTTGGCCATTGGAGAGCGTGGAGTTTGAGAACGGGGACGGGGGCGTTTTGGGAAATGGACTTGTTTCACGTGGAACTGGGTGGCAGCGCGTGGGGGCGCGACGGGGATCGGAACATTCTGGTGGCCGTGGAACCGACTTGCGGAGGGTAAAAGAGTAAAAATACTACGCTGCAGTGAAAATACAGTTTGCTCGAAACTGAAGGGTCAGTTATTGAAACCCAAAACCAAATCCAAATGCCTCAAAATATTTTGTACTTCAATTTAGTACCTCAAACAGTCAAAATATTCTTTTTCTAGAACCATTTCTGTATAAGCCTTAATAAGAAGATATTTAGCGTTTAACTTTAGCATTTAAAAAAATTATTTAATGATTATATTTTATTTAAATGTTTCTAAAATTAGTTAACACATTAAACAATTACTCAAGATGTTAATGTTAATGAAAAACATTATATTTTCAAACAAGCTAGCTAGATCATACTTTTATATATTGTTCATGTTATGAATGTCACCCACAAATGTAGTTTTAATTAATTCTTAAATTTATTTGGAAACTCTAATTAAAACCAAATATGGTATGTATTGTTCGGTGTTTAAAAGGTGATCAAAACTACTTATAAGTAGTTTTTAACTTACATTCCCGGATTCAACAGCTGCAATTACTAGAAACAAATGACAAAGGTTAGAAGTTTATTTATTAGCATGCCCGAAAATGGTTGTTATACTATACACCATGGGTATGAGTGGTTGCTAGGCAATTTTCCTAAACCAATTTGGATTGATTGGGTTTGGAACAAACCTGCATTGCCAAAGTGTCAATTTATAATGTGGCTAGTCATGTCGGAGCACAATCAAACAAAGGAGAGACTGACGAAAATTGAAGGGAATGATGTGATTCGGGTTGGGCAATGCATTATGAAGACTAATACTCTGACGAAAATGCATTATGTAGGTCTTAGCTACTTATTTTTAAGCAATTTTTTTCTTTCTCTGTTTTGACCAAATTATTTATAAAATTGTCCCTCACCAATTACGAATATTTACAAATAATTTATCTATCATTTAAGTCATCAATCTTTTAATATGATTCAGCCCAAGTGTTTTATTGCCCAATCCAATAACCTTTTCCCCATTCTAAATTAGTAAATTCTATCTATCATGGTATCAGAACAGGTTTTGGTCCACCACGTTTGTCAAGGTGTCCGTCTATATGTTCATTCTTAGCGACCCATTTGTCTTTAGCCCAGTTATCCGCATGAAGTATGTGAATTGCTAGTAATAGCATCTAGTGACTAAAACACTTTAAAGACAAACAATGTGGGATTAAAACATTTCAACTTCCGATGTGCTAAAACATTTCATCTTCCGAGGTAGTGTTTTAGTGACTTATATATATGCAGCTTATAAGTTAAAAAAACTTTGGAATATGCTAAGAGGTGTCATTTACATTATGGGTAATGCTAAAGTAATGTGATCACTTTTGACACCAAAGACAAAAATATATACTCAAGACATTTTTTTCGTATAGAAAAACATACTCCCTCCGTCCCAAAAAGTCTTTCGTGTTTACTATTACATCCTCTCGATAACTCCAATTTATTTGCGTGTTTTCATTGATAATTTGATAAAATAAAATATTCTTATCGCCTCTTATTTTGTAGAGTTTTTGATGTAGTTTTTAAATATAATTTTTTTATGTGTTATTTCAATATGAATTTTCAAATAAAATCATTTTAAAATCTACGGAATTTTGCACGTTAATCAAAGTAGGAAATTCTTTCTGAGACGGAGGAAGTATAAATTCAATATACGTGCTTGTCTTTAGAGTCAAAACTTAAATCCCCAAACTTAACTTTAGTTGTTCTGGTCAAACTTAAAATACTGGCTCTCTATAAAAGTTCATGTCAAACTCTAATCGTTAATTTCTCATCATACAATACACCTTAATGTAGTGGGTTGTTCAATTCTTTGAAGAGGCATTGTACATGTATCCCAAAATTTGTACCACATTTGTACACCAAAAGTATGCACTAACATTTTGATTGTTCACACTGACGCAAAGTGTTGGTGCGTTAACAAAAATTTACACTAACACAAAGTATTGGTACACTAACAAAAATTAGCATTACACTAACACAAAATATTGATGCATCTCTGCGATGTCGAAAAATATGGTAGAGATCGTTAGAGTACAAATAGCTTTATCCTTCTTTGAAACCAACCAAGTCTATTCAGTGGATTACGGCTTTATTGAAACTACTAACCAATATTTTCAAATTTTCAATACGAAACAAGAATTGAAAAACATCATGATAAATTCAATGTGTTTTTCCTTTACAAACAATATATTATACAACCTCGAGTCTGTCCCACTAAATAGTTTCATACTCCTCCTAAAAAATTGTCATAGTTTAACTTTTTTAATCAAACTGTAGCATTATCTAACCGTGAATTAAGAAAAAAAGTATATTTAGTTATAATGTAAATTTAATAAAATTAGATTTATTTTAAAATATAATTTTGAAATAGCAAATTTTTATAATATTTAAGTATTTTCAATTACATTTACTTCGTGGTCAAAGAATTTCACAAATTGTCTAAAAAAAATCAAACTGTGACAATATTTTAAGAACAAAAGGAGTATTTTATTTTTGGAACATCCTAAAAGTGCTCCACTGAGAAAAAAATATGGTCCATTTTATTTTTCTTTCATCTACACAAATAACGATGGAATAGTTTCACATTTTTTTTAGTAATCATAGTGATTAATTAAATGTGAAATCTTATTACCACACATAAACTACTATTAGCATAAAGGGGCCCTACATGGGACACCTTTCCTCTTGTGGAAGGGCTTTTTTGGCTTTAAATTAGTGGCTGCAGTAACCGACATTTGAATCACCTCAGAAGACTCAGTTAACAAGGAAGTGCAAGACTCATTTTCTGTGTTCTCTTTTGTGGAGAAGTCTTCTTCACCAAACTGTGAAATCTGAAATGAGATTATCTTGTCTCTATATCTTGCATCTGATGAAACCTGCATGTGGACTTTTTTAAATTTTTAATGTGCCATTAAATTAATGGTAAAGACTGACGTACGCACTTGATATTCAATCACGAAGAATATATACGCGTTCATTGATATCAGATCAAACGAGACTAGACAAAAGACAAAGATATAAAAATTAATGAAAAGTAGATGGTCTACTATAGACATGACCTAAATAAAGTTTGATCATGGACTGGGCCGACCTTAAAAAATTCGTCCGAATCTAATAGACCTACTTTCATCATTGAGTATATTTTAATTATTGTTGATCGATCTGGAGCGAGTGGATCGAAATATCAGATTCATTTAAAAAATTATGATAATAATTATCTCATCGTGGTTCTTTTCACATTAAGTTTGATGTCATATTCTGATATCAGGTATCTACATAGCTTCGATCACAAAATTGATGATTTATATCCCCTAATTTTCTCAATAAACTCCCTAAGTTTGACCTGGTCGTCCCTGACGTACCTCAACACCTTCGTCAATTGCATCCGAAATTAGTTGACTTTGAGTTCAAAACTTTGACCCCACGGCCAACCAAATTTTAGAGTGCATGTGGCAAAGATGTGTAAGTGCGTTACGCCGGGCTGGACTTGAGAGTTAACTGGATAAGGGGGTAGGAACCATTAATTTGTGGATTGGAGCATTATAGGTGCCCATATTGAATCGATGTCACAGCATGACACATAAATCAATATAAAAAAATCTGTGTCGTGTTTATCTATATCACTAAAACTAGTAAGGACTTGTTCTCTTCACCTGATCTGAATTGTTCTGATATGATCTAATCTTAGTTATATTTAAAATTGTAGATCTAATATGACTGGCCTGATCTCATTTGATTCAAAAAAGAATAAGTAATAAGAATCACTTACACTATGTTTGGTTTAAGGAATTTGACAGGGAAAGGAAAAGAAAATGTGAAGGAAAATATTTTTCTTGTTTGGCTAGAGAGGAAAAGAAAAGAAAAGTGAAAGGAAAAGAAAATGAGATGACAAAATGTACTAAGATGAGAGAAAACCAAATTCCTCCCATTTTGGTGAGGAATTTTAGAGAAAACCGTTTTCTTTTCTTTTCCTTCCAAATTCCTTGAACCAAACATATTGTTAAGAAAACAACTCAAAGGGTTTTGAGGGATAAGAGGGGTAAGACAAATTTCAAACCCAAAAAGCACACTAAAACCCCGCGCCGACCCGCTATTATGATACAGTGTATATATATAATATCCAAAATTGATATAATTTGATATTCCCTCCGTCCCTAAATAAACTTCTATTTTTGACTTTTTGAGGATTTAACTGAGGGATATTTTTGTGTTGACTTTCCAAAAATACCCTTGATGTGATGTGTAAAAGTAAGATGTGATAGGTAGATTATTAGTAAAAAGAAATGATGTGATAGGTAGGGTATGAAAAAGTAAGTGGTAAAAGGGGTTTTTTAATGAAAAAGAGAAGTTTATTTGGGGATAAAGAAAAAACGAAAGAAGAAGTTTATTTAGGGACGGAGGGAGTAATATTTATCTTTTTAAATAACAAAGGTTACATGGGTATATATAGAGAACACATGGAGAGTCATAATCAAAGTGAATAAAGAAATATGGTAACAATAAAATAAAAATAAGTAAATGAGAATAATATTTTATTTTCTAATACTTCTATTATTTCTAGTGTCCCAGTAAACTGATCATTGGTAACAAAGAGCAACTTGGAGCATAAGTACTAAAACGGAGCTAGCAGAATGAAGTGGTTTTGTGAGAATAGCCGCTAGAAGTAAAGATGGAGGTCTTTATTGAATGACGGACAAGCTTGAGAGTATGTTTGGCTAGTTTTTTCTGCGGATAGTTTTTCCATTTGGAGCGAGGGTAAAGATTTTCTTTTTTTCTTCTTGTGGGCCGTTTTTGCTCTCTTATCACTTTCAATGCTTTTGAACTCTAGAAGAAATATAGAAATACAATTTTCTAGTTCTTTGATCACGCATATGATATTTTTTGGAAAGAGAGAGATAATGGACTATGAGGCCATGATCTATGGCGGTCAACTGTCGATGATAAAAGCAAAAAGTGGCGCACTTCACAGTGAAAAGAAAAGTGCTCGTTTTTTGGGAGAGAGACCTTAACACCAATAGCATGATACCATTCGGTGAAATAATTGATTTTATTGAATCATGAAGATTACATAAATATATGTATAAAGAACACATGAAGAATTCCATTCATAGTAGAATAAGGAAATACGAAAACAATAGAATAAAGAAGTGACAAATCAATTACTACATAAAAAAATTGAGACTCGATCTCTAAAGTTCTCTCAATACCGGCATAGACAGTAGCCCAAGATAAGATATGTCTGGTATTAAACTATATTTTCAATTTGATCGAGCGAGATTGGGGAATGACCCTCGTACGTGTGAGAATTTTATGCATAACTTGTTCATACTTTATTGTTATTAGAATCAGATCATATTAGATTAGATCAAATTAGATCGAAAACAACTTTAAATATAATTACAACTAAATCAGATCAGATTAGAACTTATTTCAAATAATCAGAATCAATGAGATCAAGTCAAAAGAACAAGCCTTATGTAGCGCTACATTCTCCCTCCATTGAGCTACCTAGGATGAGCCTTGTGTAGCACTGGCTATATGATTCATAGAGATGGAATGAACTAATGGATAGAAAGATTATACTCACTTCGTGCGAAAATGATCTTCTCATTTGACTTTTCATGGTCAAAATTTGTAAAGTTTAACTACGATATGCGGAAAAAATGTATTGTATTATGATATAACTTTGATATCAATATATTTTTTGCTGAAACGTGGTATTGAAATATCAAATTTTTTATAAAATATATCTATGTATAAATATAGATATTAATGGTCAAAGAGTAATATTGAAAATCATAAAAGGTCAAATTAGAAGAACATTTCGGAAGGGAGGGGTAAAGTACTATGCAAATGCATGGGATATAATAAAGAATGGGGAATATAATTAGTGAATACATACATACCCTGCATGCAATGGAGCAATAGCGAATAGGGAATTCTTGGAGATGCCTCCCACATGCATCACAGCCCCATTTATTATTTGTCTTCCCGCCGCTGTCGTCTTTCTTCGATCTCGGCCGTGGCTTTATATGTATCGCCTTCTCCCCGTTGATCTTGTACGTCTGCATTTATATTTTCCCTATTTTTTTTAAAATTAAACTCTTTCTTTCTTGGAACTTCAACCTACTTAATTATTTGCCTTTCTTGACTAAAAGCATGTGGCCATCAATGTATGTATTGCTTTGGTCATGTGTTACGGTGGGGGGCTGATGATATCGAAAGCGGTATGATGTAGAGTGATAGGAAATGGGAATGTTACGGTGGGTGTAATTAAATAAAAGTGATGTGGCGTGAATATGTGTTAAATTTTACTTGGTTGAAATATTAAAAAAAAAAAATTGGGGAGGAAGATGGGACAACGGAGAAATGATGGTCACTTGCAATGGGGCAACGCCCCTTCACGTTTGAAGTAGTGTAATGGGGGAGGGCCGGGATGGAGGGTGATCAAGCCCCGCCCTCCTCACTTTTGATTTTAACTTATAACAACAACACAATGATAAAAACTACTGTTAGCTAGAGTGTATCCTACACCGAAAAATTAAGAAGAATATAACATGTTTATAAACTCTTGAGTTGAATCGATTAATCGATCAAATTTTATCTTTTAATGTAGGTCAATGTAAGTGTTTTATGGCTCATTCTAGTGACCCTTGCCCTATCTTAAACTTTAACATAGTATCAGTGCAACGTTCGAAAGCGCTATTAGGCTATGCTAGTTACCACATGAGGACGAGTGTTAGAATTTCCACATTGGAAAAATAAAAAGAAATACCACTAACATATATAGAAAGGTAGGGTGACACTCTACCCATTAGCTTAAAACCGGTGCTTTGCCCGTTTTTCTGGGGGCACTGAAACTTTAACATTGTACCAACTATTTTGCTTAATTTATCTCATTTCAAACATTATGTACATCCCTTGGCTTATAAATAAAACTATTCTTTTCTAGTTTTATCAAAAGAAAAGTTCATATTCTATTTACAAAAAACAATCTCGTTCTTTTGACAACAAGGATTGTAGTCATAACATCATTACAACAACACCAATTGAATTAACTATAACGATTCATTCATAAAATTGATGATTTTTATCCCCCCTAATCTTTCTAAACACTCCACACCTAGATCGATAGTCAGCTACCAATAAAGGACCATTTGTTATTTTTTTAAAAATTCTAATCGCCAGCCTAAATAAAACAAAAAAAATTGCAAAGATGAACATAATGTAAAAATTTAGTGGCATGTCAGGAGTACACCAAAATGAAATACCCTATTTGCACACCAGACAAATACAAAAAAAGCTAGGTATTTAGTGTCTGTGATTCACAGACATTAAGTATGTGCATTTGTATGTATTTGTATACCCAATTTTGGTGTGTCCCGTTTATTCAAAGAATTATGCTAGCTAGGCAGACAGCAGGTGGAATAATGGGTCAAAGAAAACAACTTAACAATGACCCGACAGCCCAAATTAAATTTCAAATTGTCAACAAAAATCATCACGCCCAATTATTATGCCCCACATGCATATTTCAAACCCTATACCGAATGTGGCGTTTCCATTCAAAATTTTACCGCGTTAGACGGCACCATCTGTGTTCTTCATTCTTTCTTTTACATTAGTTTTCGAGAAATTTTCTTAAATAGGACTAAAACGTAATGACTTTCTCAATATAAGATTACATGTTTTTGTTTCGTAATGTATGACCATTGATCATTATCTCTTAATTATTGTTCAAGTAAATGTCCACTATCACTGGACATTATTCCTCTCACTAGACATTATTAAGTCAAAACAAAAAAGTTTAAGTCCTACATTGGGAAATGACTTATGTTTTAGTCCTATTTAATGCAAATTTTTCTTAGTTTTCTTCATTTCATTTTCATTTTTATCTTTATTGTTGCATGTGAATTCTCATTCCATCTCCGTCGTCGTTTTAAAATTAAAACTACCGACTTGTACAAAAAAAACTTGGCAACCGTGCAATGAAAAAAAGAAACAAAAGAAGAAGAGAGAGAAAAAGAAGTCAATCGACGCGCTCGAGACATTATTCCCTCGTACGAGGGGAGGGGGATGTGAAATTAATGAGAATAAAATTACTCACTCCATATGAAATTAATTTTTTTGGATTTAATTTTTACAAAATGTAAGAAAAAAGTAAAATTTGTGAGTTGGATTTACTATATGGAAAAGGGAAAAATAATGTAAAACACTTTATGGTTTTTTAATCGAAAGTACTACTAATTTTATTCACCAAGAGAGAATAAACCCCATTAGAGCAAAAAAAAACCCAGACATCTTCTCTACATAAAGTTTTCGTGTTATTAATCAGAATTTTTACGATCAATTTGGTACCCGGAGTATAATTTTAAAAAATTTAACTCCATTATTTAAAAAAAATGTTTTATACGAGTGAGTTTAATTTCTACATAGCTAGATAACGTAAATATTATAGAGTATAAAAATTTTATATATCAAAACTGCATTTTCATTAAAATAAATTTAATTAAAGAAATCACTCTAAATAGAACGGAATATAAAATACCCAAATGGAAGCTTCACGTTTTTATCCCTAAAATATGAGTTCGGATTGTGATAACGTGACACTGTACATGGACATTTCACAATACATTTTGGTAATGTATACGGTCATGATTGATAATTTTAATGTATTTTAACTCCTCTTTGAGGATAAAAACACGAAAATTTTGATATATTTTCAATAATTTAATCCTATTTTAGTCCTTTTTTTCTCATTTAATTATAGTAAATTTATATTACAATGTACTCCGTATGTACTAAATACAAAGTATATTTTATAAAAATTTGAGAAAGGAAAATGAAAGGTATGTATGTATGTATGTATAGGTAGGCTGTGTGTGTGTGTGTGTGTGTACCTGTATAGTGGAGCAGTCGAAGTGTTTCTGGATATCGTGGAGGCGGACGACGTCCCGATACACGTACTTGCAGATTTGGAGCCAGCGGTGGCGGCCCGGGTGCGCCGGAGAACTCAAACAGTGCTTGCATATCCCGGCGTTGCAGTCCATACAGAACACGTTCCTCTCGTTCCTCCGCCTGTCCGCGTGCTCCCCGCACGGCCGGAAGAACTCGCTCCCCACCAGCCCCCTCGTCCACTCCGCCGCCGTCCTCTCCCTCTTCATCATATATATACTATACTCTCAACACACACACACACACATATATATATAATGAATTGAAGAAGATGAAGATTAATTAATAATTCACCATAAATAATGTGTGTATGCTGAGGTGGAGATGGAGGAAAATATATAATTAAAGTGGAGATGCAAAGCTTATTAGGGGAGTATTTATAAGTGTTTATCTCTACACCTAATTAGCTTTTTTCTATAATAAAAAAAATACGAAATTGATGGTTTCTATCCCTATCTTTTCTGCCCCGGCCTCCTAAGATTGCGAGTTGACTACAATGGTCGATGTAGCCAATCGGCGACTTATGTGGGTTAAGAGGATACGAAATATCAACTTTACCAACGGAGCCTCGTAAGAGGCTCAGGTTATGCTATGACACTCAAATCGAATGTCCTATGAACCATGCCGTAATGACTATTATTGTAACATTATATCTCTCTTTCAACACTTTTTTATTTGAGCTGAATGAATCTAATCTAATTTAAATGAACTTGACCTATTTTAATTTCAATAAAAATAAATATAATACGAAGTAAGTAATAAATAAGCGGATGAGAAAGCACCCTTAGTCTTGGGTTAGTTGAAGAAGGTGAAATTATGGGATAGATGGTCATTTAATTTCTCGGTTTAAAAACATCTTAAAGCAAGTTTCATTAAAAAAAAAGGAAACTATCTCTTAAAATAATACGTAATAATAATAATAACATAAATATGGAGTGAGGAAATATCGCTTTTTCACACTATACTAATTTCCTACGTGTGTAGACAACGTTTTTGGTTTCACATATATCGATCATGCATGCATGTCATCATGTATGTGCACACACATAAACACGTTAGTGCTTAATTATACTGTATGTATGTAAACAAAAAGATTGTCATTGGATTACCATTGGTTATACTCGCAACAAAATAACTTATTTTCTAATGCGTCACTTCACGTCCAAGATAAATTTCAGGTACTATTTAATGTAAATTTTACTAGCTTTTAGCGTTAGTGTTTTTAGAATTAATATATACTACGTAGTATTAAGTTTTCTCTCGTCTTATATTTGTCTTCTCATTTGTTTTCCTTTTTATCTTTTCTTTTATTCCTAAACAAATAAAAAAGTATTTTCTTTTTCATTTTTTTCTTTTTCTTTCAAATTCTTTGAATTGAACCAAATATACGATATGTGATTACTTATTAATCTTAGGGGTGTAAACGGATATTAATCGGACCGGATGTGCCATTACCAAATCCGTATCCGTTTATTTTTGTCGGATATCGAATTCGAATACGGATCTTGACGGATACTGAAAATCAAAACCGTATCCGCATCCGTCGGATATCGGATATATCCGAATCCGTTTCTAATTTTCAAAATCAAATTAAACAATACTTTAATTTTAAATTAGATTAAAGTCAAACTATTATTAAATCAACTATAATTTGGTATGTGATAATTATTTTCTTTGTTTTCATGATTTATTGTATCATACGAGAACTTTATATGATAAAAAGATATATACACAACACACTTATACACATATTTTTGTGTCTGTACATATTTTATGTGTCTACACATTTATTTTGTTTATAAAAATGTTTTATATTTTGAAATATCAATAGAAAAACAAAATATAAACATAAAAACTTAGGAAAAATTATATATAACAGATCGGATAAACGATTATTTAAACGGATGCATATTCGGATCGGATTTTAAACGGACCGGATATACGTACAATTACCAAATCTGTATCCGTTTAGTAATCGGATATCCTTAATCGGATACGGATAATATCCGTTTCAAACGGATGCGGATATTTCCTCTTTAAACGGATTCGGATGCGGACGATAATCAGATTTTCGGGTATCCGTTGACAGCCCTAATTAATCTATTACGGAGTCTTAGAAAATCTTTACTCTACTTTTTTCTTCAAATTAAAAGAGAATTTTTTTTCTTCTTCTTTTTCTTTTTGGGCATAACGTCGTGGGAGAAAATTGTGATAAGTACATATGGAGAATCATACGGTTTATATTTTTAATGATTCGACAACGTGAATGGGCTTTCAACTTACAGATAAAATCATAAAAATGTGTAGTAATTAAGTCTAATTAGGTGATTAAATACAGAATATAGGTAGGCAGCTTTCAAGTCATTATTTATCAATAATCATGATTACTTTTGAAGAGCTTGGCCCCTTTTACTATTATTATTCTCTCCGTTTCTAAATGATTTTTCCGAGTAATTTTTTTCTAAATAATAAATTTAACTTTTCTCTATGGAAAAGAATATATGGCAAAAAAAATTATCTTCTCGACAATTTCTAACAATTATTTTTCATCTTTCAACAATTTTTTAAAGAATCATGAAAATAAATAACACAAAGATAACACAGGATTAAATAATTTTAAGGATTACAATAAAGAAATAAACAGGCTGTTCGGACACTTTTGTCGGCAGGCTTTTGGTAGGTTAAGTCTAAGCACGGTTACAATTAGCAAAATTTTACCTTATCGAGCACGTCCAATACGAGGGTTAATTTGGTATTTTCATAATTTCACCAAACGAATTTAAATAAACCGAAAACAAATATACGAGTATTGATTGTTTTAATCCTACGAAAATAATTCGCAAGAAATAATATTCTCCGAAAATACGGAATTTTGAACAAGCGGCCATGTGTTTCTACAATTATCCAAGTGCGTCTAAAAATGCACCGATCCTCTTTCATGAAAAAAGTGAAAACCCTGTTTGATCACGGAATTGACGAAATTGGAACTGAAAACTGAAATTCTATGGAATTGATATGGATGAAATTGAATTCTCCCATTTCAATTCGTTTTTGGCACAACCAATTCCAAATCAACATATTTTTCTGCTATCACACTGCAGAATTGGAATTGTTATCCTCAATTTCTAATTCTATATTTTGAATTCCGTGTACCAAATGGAGCCTAAGGCCCCGTTTGGTACATGGAATTCAAACTATGGAATTGGAATTGGAGACTTCAATTCCTATTCTAGTGTTTGGTAGCACAAATATTATGTAGATTTGGAATTGATAGTGCAAAAAATGAATTGAAATTGACAGAATTCAATTCTATGGAATTGAATCCCATGGAATTACAATTCCAATTCAATTCTAATTCCACCAATTCCTTATACCAAACGGACCCTAAAAGAAAAATGAGTAGATTTCATTATTAATCATTTACAACAGACTCTTTTTTCTATATTTAGTACTCTATTATTGAATATTTCATTTAATATTCGTGGTCCTTCTTTTATGAGTACTTTTCTACAGATAATTTTTTTATCTTCTATGATTAAGTGTTAAATCAAGAGCTAAAAGTGGAATTTTACATCGATCATATCTCCAATGACGTTGTTTCCTGATGTCGGCTTCACGGACAACATAATAATGATTGCAGTTGTGGACTAGGATTCCGACTAGACAACATTTGTAGACTGTTGTTGTAGCAGACAACGACTTAACTTGACAAACGACGCATCTACAACGACCTCTAACATTGGCTCTGACAAAAAAAATATATGATCATTGTGATATTATATTTTTAGTCACGATTTAACACCAACATGATAGAAAGTTAAAAGAAAGATTATGAATGTAATACGGAGTATTTGATAATAGAACACTAAATAAAAAATCATTATTAAAAAAGACCAATTATAGAAAAAAGTATTAGTAATACCATGCAAGAGAGACAAAACAAAGTAACTCACATCCGATCCATATATTATTCTTCATGCTCGTGGTTTCAACTTTCAAGACACCGGTGAATCTCCCATTTGCTTCCACGTGTTCCCAAATCATGAGGAATATGCATTTTTGAATCATGCAAAAGGTTATAAAAGTACCTCTAAATTTAAAATATCCAAAATTGAACAAGTTTAGATCTAAATATATCTCTAACGTTATTTAGAATATATTTCCTCCTCTTAAAAAAAAAAGTTAAACATCATCTTTACTCCCTAGGAATAAGTTGAAACTGAAGAAGTCTCTCATAGTATCTGAGTGTAAATCTGATTACATTGCACTATAACTTGCCACACAAAAATGTTTCCCAATCCATTCAAAGCATTCTCTATACGACTCATTTGCGTGTCCACGCGCGCGTGTGTATTCACAAGTCACGGTTGGATTTCGCCCCGAACGCAAAATTTGAAGCAATATACGAACCTTTTGCCATTGGGTTTGCAAGAAAAACTTCCCGCGAGGTTTCATCACATGTATGGTTAGGCACACGAAGAGGCGTTTCTCGTCTTAAGAGTGATTTTTCCATGTGATAGTGAAAAAGCATCACCCTTCTTCAGTCACTGTGGAGCTTTTTCCTTCTCTGGCACCTCTTTATATACCAACCCGCGTGTTTCTTCAACCCCATTCCGACCAATATTTTGAGGCTGGCTAGCATGACAAAGCTCAATGCCGACAAGAGGAGAATCCAAAATACCCGCCAAGAGAGGGGACTGTACGGAAGATGAGCTGCATAAACTGGACGAAGCACTCGAATTACCTGCATTTTTTTTATATGACAGTTTGTTTCATACTCAGTATGGAAAATTCAGGATATCGAATTCCATAGTAATAATGCAGGAAATGCATGATTTTCTTTTTGCCTAATTTTACTGGGTTGTTCTAAAAAACATGTCTGTACAAGCCCTTACACTTCCCTTGCTCCAAACACAAAGGATGAAGGAGCGGTGGGAGTGGTAAATTTGGAAAGGTCTATTTGTTCCAACCTCACCGTTACCCCTCTAATCAATGGGCTGAAATGTACTCTGGAATCTATGGATGAGAACAAGATCATACCACGCAAGCTGGCGCTAGAGGAATGAAAACCAGGTTATTCTTTGCACTCTCAGGCTGGTTCCATGTCTGTATCAAAAGTAAAGATAATAGATTTTGAATGAATACATGTCACCAATTTGGCAAATCTGCATACTCAATTTTTTTTTATTGTTTGAAAGAAAGACAAGAAATCATTATGATCATCATCCTGTAGTACCTGCTTGCAAAGATCCTCAAGAAATTCTGAAAATGCCATGGGCTTGATGTTGTTGAATTTGGCAACAAAAGAATGTTTAATTATATCAATCATCATTTCACATATGTACACAACAAGGGCATTCTGCATTCAAAAGGGGGAAGGGTGAGAGAGAGAGTCAGTTGGCACCAAGTTGAAGGGCATCTAGCTGGGACTTTAGAGTGTAGGGAACTAGCTATACATGCGAATCCACTCACATAAATGAAACTTTGAAGCCAAGGTCCTTCCGCCTCCAGTATATTTTGAGCTAAAACAAACAGGAGAAATGCCGAAATATGGAACCTCTCAACAGCATCTACACAGAAGAATACCAGAAAATGAAGCAAGTAATTGCACAGGTTCCAAAGCAGATGTCTAAAAAGTAGCCCTAATTCAGCAAAATGCATCATGTAATCCTAATGACAGTGCAGGGAAAACTAATAGAGTGTAGGTTGGAAATAAAAAAATAGTAGACAAAATGAAAAAGACAGGTGGAAAATGTATTTTAGAATTTCAGTGGTGGACTTACCTTGGAATGCAGAAAGACAATTCACATTTACTTAAAACTTTTACATGTTTCACACATTCTTTATTTTGTTAGTCTTCATATAGTAGAAGTATATAAATAGCCAAATATCTTAATTTTGAGTTTAATTTTTTTTCTCCTTCCATATTTTCCTCCCTATTTTCTTTCCCTAGCCTTTTCCAAGTTCGAAACGAACCACCCTAAGGAATATAGAGATTATCTTCTTAGCCAAGCTGAATAATCAGTAACTTAGGGTGAGTATACATTATTATCGTGGTGATCCATTACAAACTCTTCCATCCAAGCCTAATTGTACGGCTATCAGTTATGGTTGTTGAACAAGCACATGTACCAAATGTCTTATATACATCAGTTGGAAATAATCAACAATAACAATATTGGAGAGATTTGAGCATTTCCAATATGAAACAAAGCCATCCCTTGCTGAAAAAGTGACCAAAAATGTGGGTTACACAGCAAAACCATTAACACAGTACGGGGGTTGGGGGGGAAGACAATTAAGCATTTACTCTGCCAGACCATACCGTCCATACATAGTAAATGCCCTTTTTTGTTGTGGAGTCTGGGAAAAAGAATAGGTATAATAATTACAAAAATAAGTAACCTTTTGGTGCATGAGTTCAGACTATTCCTTATTTAGATGTGTGGCATAAAGGACATACAATGTAAAACTTCGCCACTGTTTTTTTTAAATTCATTTAAATGTTGCTTAAGATTAGACAATTCATCAATTGAGTAAGACAGTAAATTATGTCACCGACCTCAACATAGTTTGGATTGAGGTGATGTTGATTACGGTGGTGGTGCATAAATTCAATCTATGATTTTATTTCTTAGGAAAATCTAGAAACACAAGTATAATAAACCCCGGCCTCAAAAGCCAAATGTAAACATTCAACAAACATTCCCAAAACATGTTTCAGGCATAAGTGAATTAATCAGCAATTGAAAGCCACAACACCTTCATGGGCATCATACAACAAAATAATCATAGCAACAAAATCTAAGCAAACAACACTTAAGAAAGCCATAATGATTATGAGGATGACTTACCAGCATATACTAGATTGTGAACATTATCCTTGCTGTAGCGCTTAAACACATTACTTTTAATCTCTGTAAAATTGTTTGAGACCAACAATGCAAACAATGCATTGTTGTGAGCAACTATGCACGTTGACAAAGTAATGGCCTGAACTAACAAGATGAAGGAATGAATAAGTATGAAGAGTTAAGGAACATAAAGCATAAGTGGATGTAAAAGTGCACAGACGTCTATAAAACCAATAACAAATTGTTTAAAGATTTTTTAATAAAGGATATTTGACGATGCCACAGCTACTATTTCATCTAAGATGAATCTCCTTAGCCAGTATTGCATGTTTTCTGATGAACAAGTTGCAAGCCCTTCAGCGGTAGTAAATAAAGTTTGCATAACATCTCCTCCAAAACTTTGGAATAGCTTATCAAATATCTGTCAAAAGCAGCCCGGAAATTTGTAATTATCTCTACCAATTAGTCCAATTTATGAAATTTACTACTCCGTATCATTTTAAAGTTATTATTCAAAAGATGGTCTTCAATTATCAGCAAGTAGGTACACTAATATTGGTGGGTTAGTCATGAGCTAATACGTATGAGTAATTTAAATGGGTAACCAATTAATTACTAGTACATAAATATGCATTCCGATTTGTTCTTTAACACATCGTTGGCTCTTAACTCTCTGTACCCCCCCACCCCCACCCCCACCCCCACCTCCCCATAGATGTTCTACCAAACCTCCCCTTTCTAATGTTCATTGGAACCTTACTCGAAATGCATAAATAAATATAAAAAAAGAGGGGTCACTGTTGTTCATGACAAAATAAAAGAATAGATGAAAACATTGCTTTGATGAATTATTTAATGGAAACCAAGTTGGTAATCTCAGCAACATTTCTATTGATGATGAGGAAGTTAATAGAAATTTATTTGAGTACTGAAGTTGAGGTCATGAAAAAAGTTGAAACTGCATAAATCAATTGGTCACGATGAAGTTCCTGTTAAAGTTTGATAATGTTTAGGGAGAATATTCATTGACCAACTCACATACCCTTTTAGCAAAATTTAGGAGACAAAGAAGTATAGAGTGCCAAGTGATATAAGGAAAAACACTTCAATACCAAATTGTGAGAGAAGGAAGATGTACAACTTTTCAAGACTGTGGACAATATAGGGGGATAAAATTTGTAAGCCAGTCATACCATGAACTATGGTCCATTGCCAATGGAGTTGAAGATTCATTTTTGACAATGTTTTAGCTTCAGGTAAATAACGGATTGAATCAAAATGGCACATTAAACTTTCATTGCTTCTTACTTTCTATGAAGCTTTGGGTTTCTATGAAATTTTGGGTAGTGAATGCATCAAGGTTCAAACAGAAACAGCCTTTGTGTTTTTACAGGGGTATGGTTGTGTACATCATGACCCCTTAGACCCCGACGGAAATGGGATTATACTGGGTATGTTGTAGTCATACCATGCATTAATGATAGAATATGATAGAACAAATCTCAAAGAAATTAATATATTTGTGAACCAGGTAAGAGTTATGGAGTAAATACTTATATTTGTGAGATAGACAACAAAGTCGATTTGACTATAAGACAACTAATGATATATTATTGATTATGAATAATGAAGTGCATTTGATTTGTATAGACTTGAAGTAAGCTTATGATAAAGTACCAGGTAAGGAAGTTTGGTGGGTTATAAGTAATGACAAATGAGGGTCTATCACATAAATATATTGATACAATCAAAGATGTGTATCGTGATACAACTGAGAGAAATGTTAGAATGTGTAGATAGATATGTGACATAAGATTTCGCTATCACGGTCTTACTAAATGAAAGATCAACAATGGGTGCAAGATTTGTGATCACCGTGGATGAGTGAATCATGACTATCCAAGATGAGGTATATCTTGAAAGCAAGAAGACAAACCAGATGAAAAATAAGTTTATCTCTAAGAGACTATTTTAAGTATTATGAGATATATTACACCAAAAATAGTTATATGGAAAGATGTAAGCTAAAATTTCTAGGACCAGCAAGATTACTATTTCACCTTGACGAGTCCAAAATGACATTAGAGTGTTAATGCAACATGAGCATGTGGTACATATGGAAACAACAACAGACCTAGTAAAATCCCACGAAGACAGGACTGGTGTGTGTGTGTATGCAAACCTTATCCCACATGATAGAAAGTGGTAGAAAACATGATGCAAAAATAAATTACTGTACTAAACAATGACTAAACACAAAATTACTTTATGAGGTCCTCTAACGATAAGAAAGAAAAGAGCATCTAGGACTCAAGGTTATATTTGTTGAGTGGAAAATATAAGATGTATAATATTTTATTTAGAAAATATTTTTCTGGAAAACAACATTTTCAATCTAAAAAATTATGCACCACCCAACACTAATGAAAAAGATAGAAACTCCCAAGTATTGTGTATGACACCAGATTTGTTTGGAAAGGGGGCAAGTAACTCATAGTAAATAAAAACTGTATCCAAAAGGTCAATTGATGACTAAAATATTGAAGGTAGAAAATAACCAATGACCCTATATATTGTCCAGGAGTATATTGAAAATGCAATGAAAACATGGTTATGTGAATGCACGAGAGGAACAATATTACAATGTTCTTCTACGGGCAACACCAATGATGCAGGCTAGTGGTCCTGCAATATAGTTGAATATAGTACTAAGCCTATATTAAGAGTAGTACGCAAGGATTCGGGACATTGCTACAGTAAGAAATACCTCACCTCTAACACGTTGTACACCACATAAAGTTTAACTGTCCCTTGACCACGAATCATGTGATAAATTAAGCTAATATCTGAGGGAAAAAAATAAACAAAAGTAAGCAAGACAAGAACAAACAATAAAGGAAGTGAATATACCCAGATGAGGCTATGAAACTAATATGAATAACTGGAGGTCAAACTTCCATGTATACCTGTTTGTTGCAATAGGGTCACTCCAATAATCAGTGCAAGAAAACATCCAAAATCACAGATCTGAGCTGCGGATGGCCAAGTTAACTGTCTGCCATATGCATTGTTAGGTTATTTTGCAAGCTAAATATTTCTGCTCCAATGTGTCATCATACGGAAATGAGAAGACAGACAAAAATGCTGGAAGGAAGAAAAATAGGTTCTTTAACTCATAAAATAACCACACCAGTTTTGAGGCACTATAAACTATCTATCTATTTCTCTTAAGAATTGATAAGTACACCTCTACCTACTTTGGTTCACAAGAAATATAAAGAAACCTTTTAAACATAATGCAATAGGCTTACAGTCTATCACCACCTCTTCTATTCCTTATCACTTTGATAATGAGACTATAGTTATTCAAGAGGTAGTTTTTCAAGGCAAAAAAACGAAGTGGGAGGCAGACGACTAAGAGCTCACAGGGAGGAGGCACAAGAGTCACAATGGTGGGTAGGGGCCAGTTGCCCAGGCACTAAAAGTTAGCACACCTTTGGTAGACAGGTTAGCAATTGGGTCGATTCTTTAGTTTTTAATAAACAAAGCCCATCTCAATCTCTTTTATAATAAGTAAAGGCCAAACGACAAAAGCAAGCGCCTCTTGCCTAGATATGAAGCAGCGAGCACCTCTTGCCTAGATATGAAGCAGCTAAGGTGCAGCACCTATCAGATATCACCTAGCCGGACAACTGACAACTTCCGTGCGTTGGAGCTTTGCCTCTCTGGTAAGACGTGCACCTATGATAACTATGCATAAGATGATAAGACATGACACCTTCATGAAAAATATACTTAGACTTCATTAGGTAACCTGCGCCTAATGAAGATAAAAGAGTCATTTTCTACAATGTTTTTGCTTCGGTTAATCAAAGGATTAAAACAAAATGAGACATTAAACTTCCTTTGCTTTTGATAGAGTGCCCACATATGCAGTTATTTTATGTTATTAATATTTATGGTAGAGTCTGTTAGGGTTATTGTTTATCGGGTCAAAAGTTTTATTCTATATATATGTTAGTTACTTAGTAAATAGTGTGTAAGTGGGCCTAAATTCTAGGAGTAGTTGCTAAGTAATGTGGCAGTGAACCTAAAGTCTAGGAATAGTTACTAAGTAGTGTGGTGGTGGGCCTAAATTCTAGGGATTGGTAGTTATTTGGCTTCTATAAATATTGAGGCTCATTATTTGTAAAACTATCCAGAAAGTAATTCAATATTTATTATTGGAGATTCTCCTTGGCTTTATTACTTATATGAGTTTAAGATTCTTGCTCATATTTTGATAAAGACTTTTCTTTTATTATTTTATGAAGTTAGATAGAACTCAAGAGTGGCAGGGAAAATAAATGAAGGATAGTTTTTGTTAAATTATGAAATCAGCATCTAACTTCATAGTAGGCTAAAATAGCAATAGACACCTTGAGCTAAACAATTGTAGAAAGCAAAGTTCCTTTCATGTGTAACCTAGTAAAATAAAGTAACTACAAAGAAGGAACATGTACAAAGGAGGAGAAGGAGAAGGGATAAAACATGTTCTTCACAGAAGAAAAAAGAAGTTTATTTTACAACAACAAAAGAGAGAATGGCCTAACCTAAATCTCAAAAACTTCCAGAATGTTATGATGATCCTTGTTGGCATAATAGTTAGCAACGAGAGAAATGAATCCAAGCAGACAAAAAATCCCACATTTATAAGCTGCACAGTAATATTTGTGTCACAACCAATAAAAAAAGAAGCTATATCTAAAGATAATGGATTCAAGAAAGATACTGCTTGAGTTTCCTTAAAGAATAATATTTACATATATAAGTTATATGCAAGAAAAATATTGCTTGTGTTCCACCCTTCTTCACAAGTTAAGGCAAAAAATTTCAGAGGAAAACAAAAACTATGATACTCTCTTCATTTAAAAATATAGGCCTCAATTGCTCGCTTCACGAATATTAAGCAAACAAAAGGAATTTGGTCAGATATCCAAATTTACCCTTTAAAAGGTTGGTAGCATTTTTAAGAAGTTGTTAAATTAAGTCAACATTTCAAATCATAAAAGATTAAATTGGAAAAGGTAAAAAGTCAACGGATTCAAAAAAATGAAAGTGGGCCTAATTGTGGGATAAGCAAAAAAGGAAAGTAAGACTTATAAAATGGGATGAAGGAAGTAATTTTCATAAGGCAGCCCTTCATATTAGTTGTTTACTTGTTTCACAGAACCATTCATCTTGCATCATACCAGTTCACACCGCCAGGGTAGGTGAATTATTGTGTCATACACTCTCTCCCGCTCTTTCTCATTACCAAGGCAGACGGTGCTTTTTAAAGAATTTCCAGCATACATCTCTTCCACTAAAAATTTCACTGGTGAATTCTCCACAAGAAATTCATCTGCAGAAAATCAATGAGGAAAACAAGCTAAATGCATACTCTAATACAAATTATTAACCCTCATTCATTTATTTTTCCTTTACTTTTTGGACAAACTCCTATGAAAATCATATCCTCCAGAAAGAATAAGAACGAAACACCAAAAAACATAGACTACTGTGTTTAAGAATCTCATGATTTCTCTATAAACACTTGAAATATGAGGAAAATATATTGGGAAATTGGAAATGCTCTGGGTGATATACCAATTCAGTCAACACTAAAGAATTTGTCAATAAGGTGATTTTAGTAACTTTTACTTTTTGTAGAGACTAAAATTAGCGGGGGATCTTGTTTTGTGTTTACACAGTCAGCCAGTCTAACATATACCAGTGAACAACACTCAAAATTTATGAGAAAGAATGCTTAGTAGGGAATGTAAAGGGCTGATTGTAGCTCTCATGACGAGAGCTTAAAGTGTGTATGCAACAAGGAGCCTATGTATAGTAGGTGTACAACCTCTGGATACCCTGAAGTTAGAGGATTAGTCCTTCCCTTAAAGTACTAAGCACCTACTACATTATATGTCCTCTGTAGGTGTGTCCTACTTTCTTTTTCCTTTTTTCTATTTTGGTTTGCCACAAACCTTTTGTCCCATACAATATTTGGCATGATTTATGTGGCTCATATCAATTCATATATTACAAAATCTTATAATTCTACTTTTCCTAAATTTGCATGACACTCTGCCATGCCCAAAGAATGGTGGAATGCTTATGAGTTCAATAAGAAAGTCCCTTACAATGATACGAATTGCATCCATAGAAAAATATGAAAATAAGCCTTGCAAACCATTGAGGATCCCAGCTACAAGGTGCACAGCCAGTCTAAGGCCTAATTTGGATGTCTAATTTGGCATCTTTAGCTCGAACCTGCTCATCCTTGATCATGGGTTTAACCCAATCTACAATGCTGCAACCTTATCAACACAGGCCCATGGTATAGCGCAAGCATTACCTCCAACCTTTTTGTTCTTTTGTTCTTTGATATGTTAACTTAATTGTCTTCTGGTACTTTAAAATTTATACTTACAGATAAAGTTTCTTCTTTTTGTGTCTATAATATTGGGATGTATATGTTAACATCTTTTTGCAGTTTCAGGAGTCTGTAAATTTCTAATGGTTAAATAGCATAACACCATCATAACCCACTAATTAAAAAAAGAATGAAAGATATTATCTAGAGAGCTAGCAAGAAAATAAGCAAGTCTACATCTGTACAGAGAAAAGATTAATAAAGAATTGCAGATTGGTAGTTTCACTTCTTAACACCAAAATGAGAGCTTTATCATTTTTTATGCATCCAAATTTCCTTCAGATAACATGGTTCCATTATGTATGGTTTTCCTCTGCACATAAGCCAAAATGAATGGCAAACTACAACCTGTATATGACTTATTTGCTAAGATGTCCTTTCAATTGAAAAATTATATAAAAGTGTACTTTCCCGAAAACCTATGTAGATCTTGCTTTCATTCAAATGCTGTTCATATGATCAAAATGGTTCTGATATGATAGGGTGCAAAGGGTGGCCAACCTTATATCATGTCATTAGGCCCAATGAATCACCACTTTCTAAACACATTTTAAGGGACAATTAGCGGATGGGTGTAGAAAAAGTCAGACACATAATAAACAATGGAATAAACCTTACTGTTTTGATCCTCAGCCATCAATCTCTTCCAGTCCAAAGAGACTTCAGTTTCCAAATTCCGCCCCACAGTCACATCTCTGTTCACCAATGCATTATGATCCACCGTCTCCACTGAGCTTTGTCCATCTCCATTGCTCTTAGTCTCCTTGCTCACTGGAAAGGAATCCGCTCCCTCTTCCCCACCTCCATTTAAAGCCGCATTCCTCTGCCGCAGTTCACGATACTGCATCCCTATTACCGAGCTCACAGTACACTTACTCTCTTCCGGCGGTGCCGCCATTTCCTCAAAAACCACGGCGCTGCTCTGCGGATCACAGCAAATGTAACTCTGCAATTGTGTTTCAGTGGTGGAATTTTCAGAAAGAGGCGAACGTTCAATCACTCCCCTCTGATTTCTCTTCTTCTTCTTCTTACGTGGTTTTTGTTGGCTGCCGGGAGGGTTTAAAGCGCCGTCTTCAGGAGCCAGTCCTGGAGGATCGGAATTGGATCGGCGAATAGCAGCGGCTGCGGTTGAGAGCCATTCAAGGTCCTCCCCGTCGCCGCCGGCTGAAGCGGTGAGAATATTGAACGATATTTTGCGTCCACTCGATCTGATCGCCATTGATCGCCGCCGGTGCGCCGCTTCCCGTGGAGCCGAGGGTGAGGGTGGTGAAGAGCTCTTGGGATTGCCTCGTACTCATTCCCCCCAAGAACCCACCCGTCGTACCAGTTACGGAGTACATTTTACCTACTGGTGAAAGTATAACATTGTTTTTAGGGTTAAATACTCACTCCCTCCCGAAATATCCTTTCTTGGTCAAAATTTGAAAACTTTGACTATGATATGTGGAAAAAATAAATTGTATTAGGATATAACTTTAATATGAATATATTCAATTTGAAATATAGTTTTCAAATATCAAATTTTTATAAAATATATCCATATATAAATAAAGATATTAACAGTCAAAATGTAATCTTGAAGACCGTAAAAAGTCAAATGGGAAGAATATTTCCGGACAGAAGGAGTATAATTTTAGTCTTGATAAAATAAATAATTTTTATTTTTAGTTCATGTACAATATACTCCTTCCGTCCCTAAATATTTGCAACGTTTGTTTTTTCAGCGTTGCGGAAACTTTTGTTTATTTCTATGTTTTCATTGGTTATTTGATAAAATAAAATATTCTTAACACTTCTTATTTCGAAGAACTTTTCATGTAATTTTTTGATATATAAATTTTATTTTTTATTTCTATACCAATTTGTAAATAAAATGATTTGAAAAAACATGATATTTTGCCTCGGGAATACAAGTGTGGCAAATATTTAGGGACGAAGGGAGTATTTTTGTTCAGTGATCTTTACAAATTTTTTATTTTTAAAATGTTCTTTAAATATAATTTACATCTTTTGTTGGGATATTACAATTATTTCGTACTAAACATTATAGTCTTGCAGTTTTACCATCTCCAATGCACTTTCATGTACTAAATTGAATCCTTATTCATATTACATATCCAAATCTCAATTTTTTACAAATATAATATAATAAAATTTGAAAGTTGGGATGTAATTCAATGAAGAAGACATGAATTAATCCATGGCATGAGAATTGCACATGAGGTAATTTGAAATGCAAGATTGTGATTTTAAGTATGAAACAAATGTGATATTTCAAGAAATTAGAAATGTAAGTATGTTTAAAGACCATATTCAAAAAAATTGAAAGGAAGGAAGTATGTATTACGTGAGTGAGAAGGTATGTCGCTCGTGATAGTTGGAGCGCTTATGAATGGTGGACCAAACGGGCGCACCGGATTAGATGTTTGCCACGATCAACGATGAGGGAAGGCATGCATCTTTTCTCTATGAATAACCTCAAAATTACGGGAAAGGGCGGAGGCATCTCGAAGGGTCTAAGGGTTTCAAATGTTCAGCTTGTATCTAGAGGACTACGCAACCTAGAGATGATAGTTAGTTGTGGCAGCCCAGTCGAAATGACATGGAGCCCTATACGCAAGTAACGATCTATGAACTTGTGGCGGCCCAATCGAAGAAATGGCCGAGTTTCACCTTTGTATTATCCATCCATATTGTGTTAGTGAAATCTTTATTATTCAATAAGATCAATTATTATCAAATCGTATCGATTTCTAAATAAAAAAAATAGGCTATATATGCATCTAGGTAGATAGTATATGAGAAAATCACACAACAAACTTCCTTGTACGCAGTCACTTTGCTCCTTTAACCCCTTATTTTTCTTCTTCTTATGTTTTTGTGTTTTTAATGCGTGGAATGTTGTTTTCCCAAAGGGTATTTATTACCTTTTGCTTAAATTTCTTCAAAGCTACCACCTTTTCGATCCCCTTTTCCTTCATAACCTACGACTAAATAAATATAGTCAATGACGGCCTATCCCCTCCGTTATTGCTCCTTCTTCACATTTGCTTTGAAGAAGAAAAGAACATTGTGATCAAATACCCACTCTTTGATTTGTTTCATTTGATTCAACCATGATTTCTGATATTGACGACTAAAATTGTTTTTATTTGAAAATAATTTGATATTTTATAAATCTAACATTTACTCTTCATATACTTCTCTCGTTTTCTAAAAATGATTTACGCTTTTACATACTATTACGACATCTAGATAACTTTTGTATGTTTGCTTATTTGCATTGATCATTTTATTTAAATTGATATTAAAAAAATTATAAATTAGATATTTAAAATTATATCAAAAATTCTATAAGATAAATAGTGACAAGAATATTTTATTTTAATGAATGATCAATGAAACCATGCAAAGAAAAGACAGGGACCGAGGAAGTATAACCTAAGAGCAAAGGCAGTGGCGAGGCATTGCCTCCCACGCCCTGCCACCTCAACCCCTTTTCATCTAATGCCTCGCATGGCATCCTCATTTCTCCATGGTTTGAGAGTCATCGGCGAGGCAACCTATTCTCAATTTCTTTTTTTAATTCTTTTTAATTTTCTTTTGTACAATAAAGAAGAATATTTTTATAAGAAGTACATCTATTTTTATAAAAAAAATATAAATAATTTTATATAATTAAAATACATCAAAAAAGTATAAAAAGTGGGAAAAATATTGACATGTCACTACATTGAATGTCAGTCTTTTCACTTGTCACACGCTAAATAAATTATTTTTTTATTGGTTGAAGAGTTCCCTCCCGTGGTATTTTTTCAGAAATAATCCTAGGTAGGACTAAAACATAGAGAAAAGTACCAAAATATGACTTTCATTTTTTTTCGAAATAAGACTTCACACTGTGGTAATGTGGTTGTAATGTGGCATTGTACATGTGCATATTACTATACTTTTTGGTAATGTACATGATCATGTTTGGTAATGTAAATGCATTTTATGTTCTATTTTGAGAATAAAAACATGGAAGTCCTATTTTGATATATTTTTAATATTTTAGTGCTACTTTGGTCTTTCTCCCTAAAAGCACTCTAAATAAGACTAAAATATAGAGAAAATATCAAAATAGGTCTTTCATATTTTTTTCCCTGAAATAGGACTTCACATTGTGGTAATGTGGCATTGTACATGTGTACATTACTATACTTTTAGGTAATGTACATGACCATATCTGGTAATGTAAATGCATTTTAAGTTCTATTTTGGGAATAAAAATATGAAAATTCTATTTTAGTATATTTTCAATGTTTTAATTCTATTTTAGCCTTTCTTTTTACTATACCCATTGTACATGCTATAATGTTGTTTGAATTTAACAAAAAAACTAAGGAGTCTTGTTAAAAGTGGAGAATGAGCCGATATATATATAGCTAATATCCTGGCTTGTTACATGTAAGAGGAAGGGTACATCTGAAAATACGGAGTAGTCTCTTTTTCTTTCTTGTTCTTAATTATGGCCTCAACTGTGTTACTCATCCTGTTCGCGGCGGCGGGGGCGGCGGCGGGGGCGGCGGCCTTTACTTCTGTTGCAGCGGTTGATGGGGTGGTTTCCCTCACTTGGAAAAGGCACATACATTAATTCCTCAAGTGAAACCCTAAATTCCCCACTTGGAAGATCGCATGCACTACATGCAAAAGAGTTTTTTTTTTAAATTTTTTTTAAAATGTCCAATGGCATGTCCAATTATCCACCCTTTCTCATTTCTATTCAATACAAAATACTTACTTCCTTCGTTCTCGAAAAGAGGTTCCTAGTTTGACTTAGAAGAGTGTATTCAATTTGGATTTTAAAAGATTTTGATAGGTTTTTTAGAATTCATAGATTCTGTAAATTTGTTGGATTGTTTTAAATTTACGTAGAGTTAACACGATTCTAATGTATTCTATCATAGGATTTTATAGGATTTTTTTTTCTTTTTTCTTTTTCTTTTTTTCCTCCTTCCCCCAAGAACCCTAGCAGCTTCTTCCATCTCAATTCTTTTCGTTTCTTTCTTTTATTTTTCTTTTTCTTTTTTTTTTTCTTTTTTTCCTTCTTCCTCCAAAAACTTCTTTCAAGACCTCTGTATATCCACAAACCCTCCATCTCTGCGGCTTTTCTCAATCAACAGAGCACTGTCTCTATTTCTCTCGTTTCTCCCTCTCGAGCCGTTCTTTTCATCAGAATTAATTTGTACGCCTTTCCATATACCAAGGCAATTTCGTTCCTTTCCCAATAATCCCATATTCCAGTTTATACTTCCCTCTCGAGTCAAAACCATCTATCGTCCCCGACCAAAACCCTAGTCAGTGTTTTGCGATCGTCGGATCAGGCGTGAAGGATACAACCCTCCATAGAGTTGCAAAATCTTTGTTTTTTTTTTGTGAGATTTTGGAGTTAGATTTTAATTTATACCCAAAGCCCAAAATCCATCAAAATCCATGTGTTATAGAAATCTTTTAAAACCTATTGATTTTTGAATGCCATTATATTTATTATGATATATTAAAATCTGAATTGAATACTTCCAGATTTTAAATGACTTTTTAAAATCTAGATTGAATATTCATACACTTTTAAAATCCAAAAAAATACTACAAAATCCAGATTGAATAGTATAAAAATAAAAAAGTGTCAAATTACAATTGACTTTCAATTTTGTATTTGATGTGATGGATAAATTATTAGGAAAAAAAAATGATGTGACAGATAGGATATAAAAAAATAAAGATAAAGGTGGTTTTTTTAATAAAAAGAAATATTTTGTTGGAAATAGAAAAAGAAATATCTGCACTTAAATTGTCACTGAAAATCTGCGGACTCTGTGGTTGAACCACCAAGACGGAAAACACCCGTTGTCCGGCGGCATCTCTGTGCTGCAGGGGATGACGCGGCTGTCGCAGGCATGGCTGCACGTGAACAAATTTTCCGGCGAAATACCCGACCCCTCACATTATCCTTGCAAGATTTCCTCGTGGGGTATAACTGTCTTACCGGTACGGTGCCGGAAACAATGGCGAGCATCCCCTCACTGCAAAATGTAAATCTGGCGCATAACAATCTGACCGGAACTATTCCTCGGAACATCAATCGTCTGACGGGTCTTCTCACACTGGACCTTTCTTATAACCAGCTTTCAGGTTGTGTCCCTACATGATTTCTCCATAATGTGACTGTTATAACAGACGGAAATGTTGGTATAAATGGAAATTGCCCGCCGCCGCCGTGAGGATGACGACGACGTTGAATGTCCTGCCCAGTCGAAGCTCTGTTTCTAAATGGCCATTTACTCTGTGTGTGTGAATTTAATTTCTCATCCAATCTTTTAAGAAGTAGGGAGTAATATTTTGATCATTAATATTTTGATTATTAATATCAATATTGATAGATACTGAGTAGATATTATACTTGTCCCAGTGTATTCGTACAATTTGACTTTTCAAGTCAAATTTAATAAACTTGAACCTCTATTAAATTCAATACGGAGTATAGAAATATTTCAATCGATTTATTTTGTTTCGAACGATTGAAATTTTTATTTATAGGATCAATATGCAAGTATGCAACACAAATTATGAGAAATTGATGATTAAAGTTTATCCAGTTTAACTTTAAAAAATAAAATTGAACGAATACACTTTAACAAACGCAATATATCTTATAAAAAGTTTATAATTTAAAATAACAATTCAAAAAGAAACCATTAATATTACATCTATATCGAAACACATTGTATTTTTTTCTTATCGAGGTCAAAATTGTAAAATTTACAAATCTCTTCCTTCTTTCCAAATCGATCCATCCTAATTACTACGGAGTAATTAGTAATCACAATATTTCTCATTTCCTTCCTCAATTTTCTCTCTAAATTGTTTTTAAAAATGAAATTAAATTAATAATAACAACAAAAAAATAAATAAAATAGAGATAAAATAAATAATAATAATAATAATAATAATAACATAAAAACAATTAAATATATAATAAAAATAACAAAAATACTCCGTAGTTATGAATTACAAATTAAAAATATCAAAACAATAGTAATGATAATAATAAATAAAAGTACGAAACATAAAAAAATAATAAAAAAATATAAATTACAAATGAATTAATAAATAAGTAATGGTAATAATAATGATGATAGTAATAGTAATAATAATAATAATAATAATAATAATAATAATAATAATAATAATAATAATAATAATAAAACTAAAAAATAGTAATAATATTAGCAATAAAAATAAGAAGAAGAAAATAAATGGAATTAATTAAAATAAAAATACTATAAACAAATAAAAAAATAAAAATGAAAGGTAAAAATTTATAAATATAAATAATTTAAGGTAGTGTTTGGCAACTAGCATTTCATTTCAATTCATGCATTTCAATTCCAAGATTCGAAATCTTGAATTTCAAATGACAAGGGGAGGTGCATGAATTTGAAATTAAGCTTTGTTATGAATGAGAGAAATTTGACTCAAATCCAAATTTAAAATTTTTGAATTTCCCAAACATGGAATTTGAGTCAAAATCCGGATTTGAAATTCAAATCCATGTTCCCAAACATGCCATAAATAAAATTTAATGCATATGAGGGGAAGCCATCTCATTCCTTCGTATGCCATTTCCTCCTCTCCAATAATAATGATAGACAAATTCTTTCGTGGACCCAAGATTCATTTTCATATCATTTATAGACTTTAGTGTATTTGTAACATAAAAATGCAAGTCTTTTGCAAAATAAAGAACATCCACATAAAGCTCATAAAAAATGAGAGGATCATTATTTTAAATATGAACCTTAAGATTATAAAAACATCACTCATAATGATAGTAATAATGATGGTTTTTTTTCTTATTACTTCTTTTTTTTGTGCATGAAACATTCTTTTTGGGAATATGTATTAGGTATTAGTGTATTACCTTTGGTTTAAATTTCTTCAAAGCTGCCCGGCCCCCTTTTCTCGCTAAAATCCATAACTTTTGCCGTAATCTTTGGGAGTCTACGACCATTTAGACAAAATCTAGAATCTTTACTAAAGGTTTGGACTTGAGAGTTAAAATTACTCCTTTTGATTTCAAACTCGCATTTACGTTATTAAATTATTTTTGGAGTGTTATTGAAGAATACAAATGGGCATATAATGGAATATAGAGTTTGTTTGGAAATAGAGTTAGAAATTAGCGTTAGCGTTTTAGATAAAATTTTAACGGTACAGATTACTTTAAAAACGCTAATGCTAAACATTGTTCGCAGATAACCTTTTCAAAGTGTCAACGCTAATCTCTAACGATATTCTTAAACATGCTCATAGACTTTTCATTATTTTAAAGTATAAAATTAAATGAGTTTCAAATTTTGAAAAACTTCTTTATAAACTACATTACTCGCACAATTTGTGGGAACGTCTTCTTTGTTATATATCAGAATCTTCAAGCCATTACGATTTGTTACTCCTGAAGTTGGAACATACATTTATCCATGACTAAATACCGATTTCCGTAATACTAATCCAACATGTTTTAGAGATTGGTCTTGACTCTTGAATATAATTTTGAATCTCGGTTGCCCATGACGAAATACAATCATATCTCGGTTGCCCACGACTTCTAAGCAAAATTTAATCTATTGTGGCATATCTGGATAATTGTGAAGACTTTTGCCACGACTTCTAAGCAAATCTTTTATGTCACATAGAACATGATTTTAAATTTCATCTTCATTAAGCGTTAGACGTAAAAGGGTAAAAAATTATATTATTCATAGTAATTTTTTTTGATATTTTTGTGAAGTATGAACAAATTATACCTTCATGATTTAAGCAACATTGTTGTCGATATAAACATCGTCTCCCATATATTGCTAGCTTTGCTCCCAAACGTGTCTTGGTCTTGACATCGATTCTGTTGTCAGTAATGTCATAAATAAATTTCTTAGCATATTATTTCACAAACTCATGTTACACTTACGTTAGGATTAAAAACAAAAAGAATGTTTATTGGAATGATGGTGAAGCCAATTTTTGGAGAAGAGAAATCGTAGGAAGAGATGATACTTGTATACAACCTCCGAAGAAATAGAGATATAGGAATCAACGTTTTTATACTCGATATTTTTTTTTTATTAATTTAATATTTTTCATTTATTTATTAATTATTAACACTTTAAAATATATTTAGCATTTAGCATATCTATTTAAGACTTTAGAACAGGGGGTTTCCCTATTTACTCCTCTATTATCAAATATTACCCCAGTGGTCCTTCTTTTATGAGTATCTTGGCACAAATAGTCCTTTTTTAGATCTTCTATCATGTTGGTGTTAATTTGAGAGCTAAAAGTGTAGTTTCACAATGATAATATATTTTTTTTGTCATACACAATTCCAAAGTCTATTTCGTTTGCGCCGTTTGTGAATTACAGTCGTTTTCTATTACAACCATAGTCTACAAATGTGGCCTTTCGTTAGAATCCTAGTCCACAATCATAGTCATTATTTTTGTATTTTTCGCTTAACCAATATCAGAACACGCCACTAGACATATTGTTGATATCAAATTATACTTTTAGCTTTTAAATTAATACCACCATGACAGAAGATAAAGAAAGGACCATTTATGGAAAAGCGTCCTTAAAAAAAGGATTACGGGGGTAATATTTGATAATAAAGGGCTAAATATGGAAACCCCCATATTATAAAGGACCAATTATGGAATTTACTCTAATTAATTCTAAAAAGAAAAATCGGGAGTGTGGAAATTATAGGTTGAGACGTGCGATTCGGTTCTTCGATGAACAGTGTTCCGCGACTCCCTTCAATCGGAAATTCCCCTTGGATTTTCTGAGGGGAAAACAGTTTTTTGGATAACTTTTGACATATTTGACTGACTTTGGTTTTTTTGACTTAGCGACCCGCCAAAACCTCAATTTGGCTAATGGATTTTTCACTTGGTATTTTGATCCGAAAAGCCAAAATCTGAAATGCCAAAGGAGTAGCATTTGAACTTGGCTGTTATTTTTTAAAAAATATCTTTTTTCTTGAAAGATATTTTATAATATGTGTAAAAAATAAAAATAGAAATAAAATTTAAAAAAATTAAATGCTAAAAAAATCAAATTAAAAATTTAAAAATTTCTAAAAAATGAAATGAGAAAATAAAAAGTAAAAATCAATAAAAAGTTGTATATTAATAATTTCTTATTAATTAAATGAAAGTAAAAAAATGAAAAATAAATATCGTGTGTGTGTATATATATATATATATAGGAAAATTTATTTTCAAACAGCTAATTTTACTAAACTTTTTTAACAATCAGCCAATTCATCCTACCAGTCAAACCAGCTAAACCAAACATCCATTTACACATCCAACATCCAAACAATATAATGCCTTTGATTCGTCTTCAACAAGAGAATAAGATTCAAAGCTCAATTTAGTGATTAGTGGCAGGAATTCGACAGAAACGAAGGTCAACAGTAGCGCAACTATTGTTCATCCACGATGTTGGAGGTCTGATTTTTTCGTTCTTACTGCTGATTTCAACCCCAAGATTGAGGTATTTTGAGCGGATAACATTTCTTAACCACAATCTAGAGTTTATTGATTCGTCCAAACATGAATTGTGAGCTTTGGGTGTAATTGGAGTCTCTGAGCACTGTTCACAACGCGAGACATATACTGGAGGTTCTCCATTTCAATTCCTCTTTCTGGTTCCGTTTTTGGGCGAACCCCAAAGGTGACTTTCAGCTCTTCTTCTTCACTTTGGTGGCCTATAACTTGAAATTTTTTGGTGCTTGTGTTGGTATTTTCTTGTTGTGCTTGCTGCCCTCTTTGTTGTGAGTTTTTAAAACTTGGGTCTCGTTCTTTAGTGTTGTGATTATGGGACATAATAATAAGAATAAGAATAGCAAAATTCAGAACCAAAACATCACAAATTTTGTCTTTGATGGTACACTAATTAGCGAAGGAAAAAAATGCAGGGTTG